TTTTAGGCTGAGTAAATTTAAACTTGCTGATTTGATTCTTTTGTATTTTTAATTGGCAATTCCCGGTCCTCTTAGCCTAGACTAGAATTGTCAACCAATCGATCAGTTTCCTGGAAAATGATACCCTTTTCTAGACCCAAACTACCTGATTCATATACCCTATCCCACAGTAAACTGTTTGAAAACCACACCCTTCATGACGGCACATACCTAAGCCATCAGGAGATCGGCTCCTGAAGCCATATATGGCAGTGACCTAAGCCCCCCTCCTTCCCAACATCCCCGGGCTCGGTTACCGATCTGCATTAAAAGATTACACGCACTAAATTTTGAAACTCTAAAAATATTACTGAGGGGTAATTTTAAGAACAAAATAATTACGAATTAAAAAGGTACCATGTATTGAAAAATGAAAAGAAAACAAGAATAGCATAAGCCCCCGGAGAGATTTGAACTCTCGACCCCTGGTTTACAAGACCAGTGCTCTAACCCCTGAGCTACGGAGGCTTACATGTTCTAGTAAAAATGATTACTTTATTCAGGACTAAAGAACACTAGAGAACACAACACAGTTTCAGACCCACTTTCATGCCATGTTTATTGCCGAAGAGGGGGTCGGGGGGGGGTTACTGCCATATATAATGAGAAAAAGGAATTAAGATGGTTTAGTTGAAAATGGAAACGGGGGAGGCTGATAAAATAATAGATCACTTTTTTCCATGTTGCTAAATCGAAGTAAATATTCCTATCAAAAGCCAGCACTACTCACCGAGAATGAAAAGAATAATTGTTTTAGTATACGAACTCGAAGTGATCTCAACAAAAGCAGAAAGAATTGACAGATCAAAAAATTCGAAAGTTCCATCTCAGCAGAATTTTCAGATATGGCAACTCACAAGTTTATCACTTCGCTAACAACAACGTAATGGCTCAAAATGAAACCGTTAAAACTTTGAATTGTTTCCTTACCTGAGAAGAAAAGTTGAGATTTGTTACTTTCTGTATGATGACATTCTTTTGAGGTTCAATCGGGGACAAAATTAGTTGAGACACTACTTTAATGGACTTTTTTCTTTCTGTCGTTTTCCTCTGACTTTCCAAAGGAAAATGAAGCTCTTACCCTTCCACACCTTCAAGCAATGTTGTGCCGCTATTCGAGCGAGAAAATCTCTAAAAGACACCAACTTTAAGAGAGGGCCGGATGTAGTTTGCATTGTAATTCTCCGAAGTACCCCCAATGGAAGACATTTGAAGACAGTTTATTACCAATTTTGTCGCACAATGTTCATTTAGCACTAGCTGGACAATTATATAGGAAACGAAGCCTTATAAGATGTCCTTAGGCACTTCTCGCAATAGTATAATTGGGTTCTAAAAGATTGACAACATTATGCTCTACACGTTGACGCACTGATTTGCAGGAGAGGGCTTTTTGACCTTTTTCCAATTAAGTGAAATTTGAATGACCTGGTATGACATCCACTACAATCCTCCTTCCAATCATAGCCATTTCAGTTTTGTTTTAGTGCTTAAACAAATTGTCAGTTAGAGTTTAACTCTTAGACTAACTTCATCCAATTATTTACCACAGTAGCATTACTTGTTCAGCAGCTCTGTACAGCTAATGTACGAAAATTTGTGGAGAAAATATAGTTATGAAATGCAGTGTTGTTAATTCTTTTTACAGTTGAACACTGGCGAGAACGTTAAATCGTGTTTTAACAAAGATAAAACTAGAAACACACACCACCAATTGAAACTCCATAACATCTTTTTAATATGACACAACTCCTTATACGTTAGTATGAGCAAATTTTTACAACGTGATAATATAGTCCAAACTAATACTAACCCTGTCCGCACATATCCTATTTTCTTTGATAACAGAGAATTATTTCCTCGGTTTTTCCTTAAGTCCACATGCAAGTATTTGGTGAAAACGGTCATCAAAAAACGTTATCTTTTTTAAAACCTCTCTCTAGGGTGGAGATTTTTGAAACGCGGGCATATCGTTTTTGTCGATGATCTCCGTACAGTCATCGTACAGCGCATGCCCTGTAAGATTTTCGATCGTATTTTTCTCGTTTTAGCGTTTTTCTGTGCAGGGTTAAAACGATGCCAATACGCTAAGTGTGGACGCCTATTTTTTTTAAAAAAAGGAAAAATCTCTGCTTTGCAAAATATACAGATATGTTTGGATTTTAAGGCCTAAGGCAGCAACTGAAACAAGTTTGTTATATTTGATTTTGTTCTACAACGATTTATTTTCATATATTTTTATTTTTTTCTTCTGCCTTTTTATTGTTATTTTTATTTTTCAGGTCTCATTTTGTTTTTTATGTGACGTTATTTTTCTTTTTTCTTTTTTTGTTTTGTTTTTTTGTTGTTGTTGTTGTTTTCTTTTTTCTTTTTATTGTTCGTTGTAGTTGTTTTCACGTTAAAAATCTGTTTGCGCCTTTAGTATTTGAGGAACAGGTCAATCTAAAATATTTCAGTGGAATGTAGTAAAGCTAAAAAAGAATCATTAAAAACAAAAGCATTATGTACGATCGTAAGGAGTTAGATGAAATAATGTCAGGCCTGTACCGGCTAGACTTTCAGAACGGTGATTGAGACAAACGTTTTGTATTGTGTAATTGATCATTGAAATAAATATTCATTAGGAAGCGCGTAAACATTGCGCATGCTCAGTGATAAATGGGCTACATTGTCCATTCAAACAGATGGTTGTAGGAAAAGAGCAAACAACAAATAAAACGGAAGAAAACAAATAACAAGGACCAAAATAGTTCCATAAAACACTTCAAAAACAACAACAGCAAAATATTAGTTTTTTGTTTTGTGTTTTGTTTTTGTTTTTGTTTCTTTTTTGTTTTTTAAATGATATTTATTTTTTGTTTTTTTTGTTGGTTTTGTGTTTCTTTTTTTTTTTTGTTTTTTTTTAATGAAATTTATTGTTTTGTTTTTTTGTTGGTTTTGTGTTTCTTTTTTTTTTTGTTTTTTTATATGATATTTATTGTTTGTTTTTTGTTGGTTTTTGTTTCTTTTTTTTTTTTTTTTTTTAAGGATATTTTTTTTTTTTTTTTTTGTTGGTTTTGTGTTTTTTTGTTTTTTTAATGATATTTATTTTTTTGTTTTGTTTCTTTGATTCTTTTCTCTTTTTTTTTTGCTGTTGTTGTTTTTGAAGTGTTTTATGGAACTATTTTGGTACTTGTTATTTGTTTTCTTCCGTTTTATTTGTTATTTGCTCTTTTATTTTGCTCTTTTTCGTTTTAATTATTTGACGTAGTAGGCTAGGCTTCCAACAATCAAATCAGGATCATGAAATTGTGGAAATCGAGAGAAATAAAGTAAAGATTACTCAGAATTATCAAAACGGAAGACCAAAGTACATGTCAGTTACCATAAAGATTAAAGTCCCTGCGCAGCGTAGCTACTTAACGTTTATTTAAAAGTTGTAAAATCGACGCTGTTTAAAAGAGTCTTAACCGACGTTTCGGCAATGCTGCCATCTTTAGGGTACAAGGCTAACCTACACCCAGTCTCCCCAATGTACATTGTCGACGGACATTTGGTGCACGACAGACAATAAACCACGTTGTCCGTGATTCATCCACCATTACAACACCCAAAGGGCATATTAACAGCAGGGGACATTTTTCTTGCGTCGATCACGGACAACATAGTTTATTTCCTGTTGCGCACCAAATGTCCGTCGACAATGTACATTTGGGAGACTGGGTACAGGTTGGTGGACCACCTTAGAGAGCACCGCAGAGATGTCATAAACAGGAGGAATGACCTTTCTGTACCTGCTCACTTCAACCAAGCCAATCATTCACTGGAAAGACATGCAAGGTTGCTGTATTAAGAGCAGGTCTGGCCAACCAGGAATACCGTAAGAAGTAGGAGATGAGGTTGATTTTCAAATATTACTCACTTTTTGCTTTATTACTCGCGTGCCGTCGCGTGCAATCACATGCGGCACGTGCACATGTACGCACTCGGGCACGTAAACTGAATTAACGAACTTTTTAACGGTATCTAGTCTTGTACCCTGAAGAAGGTAGGCCATAGCCGAAACGTCGGTTAAGACCCTTTTGAACAGCGTCGATTTTATAACTTTTAAATTAACACGAATGTCATGTGTATCGAGTAATATTGAAAAAAAAAATATTGCAGTACTTCTTACAGAACTTTTTGACTGGCCGTAGACAATACAAAGTTTTTGTCTCAATCCATGTTTTTAAAGTACAGCTACGCCCCTGACGTCATTATTCCCTCTAACTCAGCTCCTTAATGTACATTCTAGCAAGTTTGTTAATCTCAAACCCAGCTTTCTTGCGACCAGACTGGGTGAGATAGAGCTACAAAATTGGCAGTTTCTTTTATGGATTTGTGGTTAAAGAACTTACGAAAGTGTAGTTTTCGAAAATACCGTGACCTAGTCCCTTTTAGACAACTTATCTACAGTAGTTATTGACTAAGACGAGAGACAGATCATTTTTTGTCAATCATCCTCGCAGAAGTATCTAAAGAAAATTTTCATTTACAAGAGTATGTTTTTCCCCTTTTGCCCTCCCCCTACCCTGTCCCAAACATAGCTTGTAACTTTTATGACAATCGTTACACATGATCTAATCCAGTTATTGGTAAATAGGAGGTTTTTTTTACACAGACCAATCATTGTTATTCTTCTCAGCAAATTTATCGATAGTAAGTTTTCAGTCACAAAAATATCGTTTCCCTCTTGCAACCAGAACCCCCAGCCCCACAACACACACACACCCACCCCACCCCCGCCCTGTAGCTTTAAAGTTTACGATGAAAATCTTTGCACAGTTTCTAATCCAGTAATTTCTAAATACGAGTATTTTAAAACAGATCAGTCATCGCCATTTTTCTCAGCAGATAAAACTAAGATTTTAGTCATAAGAATATTTTTTCCCGTCTAAAGCTCCAACCCCATACCCTATCCCAAATAAAGTTTGTACGTCAGTTTAAGATGAAAATCTTTGAAACGCATTTACGATGAAGCGTTTCATTCTTCGGAATTTTCCAATTACTCCTCCGTAATATCGCAGATTATAATTCTGAAAACGAGAGAACAACTTAAATCAATAATTTAAAACGTATTGTACTATGTCTGTACAACTGCTACAATATTAATACGCGACGCGGTACAGTCTAATAGATTCGTTTTGAAAAGAACTTTTCTTGGCTTAACTCAACCCGTACCTCATAAGATAATGTTAAATAGGGAAAATTTTCCACAGGAAAATCTTTCGAAAAAAATAAAAAACAAATTTAAAATTTTGATTAACCAACCTGTTCTTTGAGGAGTTCAACTTGCTTCTTAAATGCAGCTAAGTCGTCCCTGAGATTATCGTTATTTCTAAAAAGGGTAAAGGTTAAACAGTGAAAAAAGGTAAATAAATGACAATTGTCTACCTACGTGTTACCCTTAGACTTATACTGGTCTTCAAACATCTTGCACCCATATCCCTAACGGTCAAACTTACAGACCTGTGGGATCTGGGTAGCGAAGGCCTTTAATTTTGTCTACGAATAAAATACATGCGACTAGACTACTTCGGAATTTAGGACCGTTATGTTCACGAAAATAAGCCTATTTCTTTATAAAGATCAACACTTCAATCTTGTCCGTCCGTTTGGGTGAGCATTTTTTAGCTGGCGGAAGAATAACTCAGACAGTACGTGCAAAATATTGGTTATCATCAATTTTGTTACCATATATTGTGACTGATTTAGTTCTTCCGCCTTTCTTTACCACTCCGACAAATTGATTTCAACTATGTTGTGATCGGTAGCGTTGTAAGTTTAATCGAAATGCTGGTTTCACTATAGATCATAAACCCTTGTATTAATATTACGACTCCGACAGGCCTTCGCTAATCGTCTTAATAACAAGTAAGTTGATCGCCCACTTTTGGAATTTTACTGGTGAAATGGTTACGTTATCTAACTGCACAAAGGTTTAAGAAAAAGCCAGAGGTGACCGATTTGTATCCCGGATGTCCTTTAGACTAAAGGACAATAACTTTCTTATAAAATATGCACTCTTAGCTCAGGCTAAAGGTCTATATTAACCACTTCGTGTCCGAAATATGAAGATTTCTAAAGTTGCTGTAGACCATATTTGGTCGCGGCCAAAGGTGACAAAGCAAGTTACTTACTCTAGCAATTGAATCTTTGCGTCCCTCTCAGACTAAAGCATAAAAAAGAGAGGGATCAAGTTAGGATTAAGATCGAGGCTCGTGTCAAAAATAGTATTCTTTGAATTTTGTCTATATTTTGGAGAGGTCATCCCCCGTTTGTACATCGCTGGTACCCTCTATGGGAAGAACAAGTAAGTTCAATTAATTTTACAGCTTTTATTAACTTTTCACTCTTAGATAGTAAATATAGAAAAAATATTTAACAAATAACTACAAAACTACAAAACACAAAGCATCCAAACAAATTTCCATTTACACCATTTTGATTACACCCTTAATGCCATCAAAAGGAAACAAAAATTTAAAAAAGTTTCAAATATTAATTTCAAAACAAGGTAAAGAACGCGCTCTGATTGGTCAATTATTCAAGACATATACAATTAAAAAGGAGCACCCTCTTTTCACCTAGTGTGTTCTACTAACCAAATACTGTCACGGTAAATTAAGTCTATTGATACTTTTTTCGGGTACTTTACATCCTTCATTCTGACAATTCAAAGAAAAGCTTCCGCATCAAAGATTGCCACAATTTCGCTAATGTCATAGATTTCAAGTAATCTCTATGTGTGGTCAACTCTTCAAGTTTTTAAAGCACTAAAAAGCCAGGCCTACCGTCTAATTTTAGCAATCTTAATCTAACTAACTTCCAGTTTTTCATAGCCAGTAAAAAGGGATGTACTTACAGTCATAAATGAAAGCTATACTTATTCAATTAAAAAAATCAAGTAATTATTCTTGTACCTGAATTTTCTTAGAAAGAACGGCTTTGTCTTTCTCTAAACGTTCAATAACCAAATTTTTTCTCTGAGAGTTTTTCTTCCACAACTCACAACGCTGGGCCAAAGAACGTTGCTCTTGATTAGCAACGCCTAAACTGAAATAACATAAAAAAACATATTATTATTAAAGACACTATTCAGGAAGACAGAACGTGCACGACGTATGTTATACAAATACTCAAAATTCTTCAGAACAACTTTTTTTCAGTGGGTCTTCTTCAGTCTGGATGAAAACTATTAGAAAAGAATCGTCACAAAATGTTGCCATAAATACAATAATATAAGCACGCGATCGTGATGAAAAAATAGTGTACCACGTACATAGTGAACCTAAAATTAACCTCGTAAGGCCTGCTAGATATACTATTATCATACCATTATTATTTATTCAAAATATTTCCCCGATTCTGATTGGCTGAAAGCACACGCATAATTCGCCATAACCAGTTTCTGATGACCAAATTTGGAAGAATTTTCTGTTTAACGAGGAAATGACGTCAAAAATGCAGCGTTCGTGCAAGTTAAGGCACCGTTAACCGAGAAGACCTGGGGACGAGGTTGAGTTGTTTTGGTTGTGAACTTGAAAAATGGCAGACATTTCACTCGTTTCAAGAGTAAGAACTAGGCGAAAAAATAACTAAAAACATGGAAAGAACAGCAAGAAGACAACTCGAAGGGCGACATCTGCTATTTGGAGAATATTTGCGGGAGCTGGACAAACCTAAACCTGCACTATCGAAGATGAATTTCACATCGATGGATCGATGGAAGTAAGCATGTTTTAGCCATGTTTTTAAACTAGGAATTATTTTGACTGAATAATAAAACAATTATTGAATTCGGCTTTCGTATCATATGAAGAATTATGGAGATCTCGGAGGGTGTTATCCGTCGAGGCCGCCTCCTCGGTCTCCATAATTCTTCATAAGATACTCAGCCTCATTCATTAATTGTTAATTATTCTTTATATTATTCATGCATTGTCGTTTCCAGAGATTCGGTGTTTTTGGTCAGCTTCACGGACACTGACGAGATAAAGCAACGCCAAAAACTCCTGACTTCACATAATCAAGGTTTAACGGAAGCAATATATCATTAATCTGTAATTCTGGGAAGATTCAGTGATGTATCGAAGACGACCTATTAACGGATATTTTTTAACACAAACTTGCATTGTCGAGAAATTTTTGAACTAAACTTCAAGATCGAAATACGTTTCGCATGCATGCAGACATGTTTCTCGTGCCTATGTTCCGTGTTGTGTCGAAGAATAAAACCCTACTTCCATTCTGCCAGATTTTGAAGCTTATTATACAAAAAAGAAATTTTGAGGATTTATTCCTAAGAATGTCTCACTTACTCTTCGGTGGCTTTCTGGTAAGATGATTTGTAATAAGCAACCTGCAAGTTTGAAAAACTCTCGTTAGCATTTCATACTAAAGACCTAAAAGAATAAAAAGTAAAAATACGCCTCATTTGAGTGTCAATGTATTGAGCACGAATTGGGGGAACTATTTTTACGTCTTTTATTGGAGACGGAACAGCAGCCGCCGTAGTCTTCCGAGCCATGCGAGGTTCCAGGGTTCATTTTTCAGTTATTTTAAGACCGTGAGTATTGGTCCTGGCCCGGGAACATCCCTCTCTGCAGACAAACGCTCTACCAACTGAGCTAATCCTGCAGAGATTCCAAAATTCTTCTGCTTTGAATATGTTATGTATGCTAATGTGAACTTTCAAAATTGTTCTTTAACGTTCTTTCCATTGTGGAGTACCCTACGGTAATTTGTTGAATAGTACTACAAAAATAACGTCTGCAAAAAAAGACGGAAACCAGTTCAAAGAAGAAAAGCTAGGCTTGTTAAAAAAGAAGCAACTTTCAAAGTGTTGAAGCTACAGACAAGATACCTCATCTTTCAGTCCATGTATGGTCTTTGAAGCGGTGCTAAAATGAAACAGTTTAAAGAAATAATCAGTTACTGGATCGTGGTGCTTTTTGCTAAAGCTAAGGCGGAGACTGAGAGTAGATATCTATCTAAAAATGCATCTAGCTATCTACTGTAAAAGTCGATAACATAGGATGTTAGTTATAATTTACTCAAGGACGTTACCCGCGTCCTTGTTAGTTATTTCTTTCCCTCTAGAATGCAACACATGTTTCAGTTTTTCCTGGAATCTATTTCGTTTAAGTTTTCCTTTTTTCCTTTAAATACTTTTATTCTAAAATTAACTTTGACTCTAATACAAATTTGGCCTCTTTCTCACGGCCTCGTATCAATAAAAGTCCTAACTAGTAAAGGAAGGTAATTCTGAAAATTTATCCGAGAAGATAAAAGGCAAGTCTAAAAGCAAAATAGATAAAGCACACTTACAGTTCTTGAAGTCGAAGCCGTTCGTGCAACTTTGCATTGCAAAAAGAAAACAAAAGACACAAAATCAGGAAATACGTGTTTAAAGTGTAAGCCAATAAATACAAGAGTTGTCCTTTAAAACTTTTGGCATCTTTTAGCCGTGTATTCTTGACAGGTGTCCCGGGTTAAAGTTAAATATTTATTCTCGACGTGACGTGGCGTGGGTATAGGTAACGCCTCTTTTTTTAAAAGAGGGGGGGAGGGGGTCCTATAGTTAATTAATATAGTTGAGTTTATATATTAACTTCCATTCACCTCGTTATAAGTGGCTCGAAGTGCGGAAAACTCCTGAGATAATTCATCTCTGAATCTCTCGAGCTTACTTCTTTGAGCTGCATTATTAGCTTCCAAATGAAGGATCCTCTCCTCTGCTTTTGAAAGGTCGCGTTCTGTCCTCTAGGAAATTAATGAACTTTAAATTAGGCTGATGCTTTGTCATAATCAATTGATGTCTTATAACTGGTAGCCGTTTGCGGGGAGGAGCGTCATGCGTGACGACACTAAAACGGCTGCGAGGGAGACGACAAATTTGTTGACGTTTTAAGGAATAGAAGAAACTCGATCATACCAAGAGAACTCGGTTTATCTTGCCGCCTTCCTTCTCCCATAATTGCTTCATGGCATCCCAGGCGTTCTTCTCCCCCTCCATTTTGTTCCACCTTGAATTTACAACAGAAAGAAAAATATCCCTGATGTTAGCATGACCGATTCTTGGACATGATTTTACATTAAACAATTTTCCACCAGTAGTGGAGGATCCAGGGGGAGAGTCTGGGGGGTCCTAACCCCCCCCCCCCCCCCCACCCATTAGACCTGACTTGTTTGGGACTGAAGTTCTTCATCGACAGAATCGTATATCACTGATTTTTTTAATGAAACACGCCATAACCCTGGGTATTTAAAAATGAAATTGTTTTGGGGTACCCTATTTTGGGTACCCCCTTCTGCTCGCGAAGCAGTACTTACCGCGCCAACGGCGACCGGCCTTCACATTGGTTTTCTTTAATCGAAATAATAGTACGGCATTAAAAAATTCTTACATGTTCTCCGCAATCTCTCTTGCTTTTCTCTCTTTCTTGATCTGCGTGGATTGTATAAGAAACACATCTGCCATTATCTTTGTACATGAAAAGTGATTAACAAACGACAAACAAGTATTTCCGAGCACTGCTTTCTGCCCGTGGCTTACTCAACGTTTTCCCATTGAGGAGAAACTGATTCTCCATTAATTTTGGCTTCTTTTGCAAGACTATATTCGTTACAGTAAAAGAGGAAAAAAATAGTTCAACCTGCAAACAGAGCTTCTTCATAACTCCACAGGAGCATATGAATATGGTTAAAATACCTTATCTTAGATTTGACCTAAAACAGCAATATAATCTACTTCCCTCAGGACGCCCTGTCAGAAGACTTAGCGGGTTCTCTATTGACCTTGACTCCTATCTTACCTCATCTTGTTGTCGCTTGTCTTTGATTTCAAGATCACTGACTCTTCTTGATTGTTGTTTCAGTTTCAGGGAGAATTCCTCTCTTTCTTTCTCCAGAGTTTCTTTCATTTCTCTGTGTAAATAGCAGACCAAGTATACATTAGGCTTGATTATCTACTATCTTATTCTCACCCCGTTTGTAGCCGTAAGATCCGAGCGCTCTGGCGACGAGATTGCTACCGTTTATTTGTGAGCACGCGTTCAGCTTCATCACATACATGCTAAAGGGTGAAATTACTTTGATCGAGTATCAAATCAGACACTCTTAAATGGCCAGAAATGGAGCCTAGAATCAAAATCAAAATTGATTAAAATAATGGAGATATTTGTTTGATAAAAACGGGGAGTCGGTGATGTTCGCTACGTTCAGGTAAAAATTGCATTAACACTTCAAGCAGTTATAAACGCGGCATTCGCTATTGGTCAGCAACAATTACTAAAACCTACTCGAGACGTTCTTGAATAGTCTTGGTAGTGCCGCTCTTTTCTTTTTGTTGCTTTTCCTCATCTTGGTGTTGTTTCGCACCTTCTTGATGTTTTGTGGCAACGTTCTGCTGTTTTGCGGCAGCTTGCTGCTGTTGAGTCGCAACTTGCTGATGTTGTGTTGCATCATATTGCTGCGCATACATTACGGCAAATTGCTGTTGAGCTGCATATTGTTGTTGTTCTGCAGTCGTAGTCCAGTATGGTAGCCTGTGCAGTGACAAAATACTAAAATTTGAGCGGAAATGAACACTGATGATAGCAATCCTTATGTGAACAATTTTGTTTCTGTCTAATCCAAATTCAAAGATTTACCATGAACGCCCCTGACAACAACAGACCCTTGAAGCTATTTCTGCATAAAATTAAGGCTTAGGGATAGTTAGGTAAAAAATAAAAACTTACATAAATGTGGCTTGACCATGCTGCAGTTGAATTCCTTCAGCCCAACTTTGCTGAACTGCAGGATTATACTGGAACTGTTGGTACTGAACGGGAACCGGCTAAAAAAAAATTTCATAGTTAAGAAGTTTCACAAAGACAACTTTTACAACAGCCTAGGCACTGTAAGCGATGTGATTATCTCAGCTTCCTTAGCTTCGTTAAAAATCTTTAACGACATGAATCTTTCTCACAGTACAGAGTAACCATCGAATGTTAATCGTTAACAAACATTGCGCAATTTTTACAAAACTCTATTTAGCGGACAGCCTCTATTAAGCGGACGTTTGGGAAGGTCCGAAAGGTGTCCGTTTAATAGAGGTTTTACTGTAGTCAATTACCTGAACGCCATAGTAACGCCATGGGATTTCTCCTTGAGGGTCCCAGTATGGATCCATTTCATCATTTTCAAAATGATTAACTGAAGAAAAACCAAATGAGAAATATTTATTTTGCAAAGAAAAGAAGTGAAAGGGCGAAAAGTAAAAAACAGGTGCAGAAGAGAACTCAAGATACGCACGTTACCTGGTTGGTTAACGTTCGTTTCCTATATATTGGGAAACGAACGTTAAACAACCAGTTAGCTGCAGTGGAGTTTTGTCGCCCGGCTAAAGCTTTATAGCTATTGAAAAAATATATATATGTATAATTATAGTTTTAACAAATATCAATTAAGTTAGAGCAAAAGAAAAATTCATGCTTTATGATCCAATACTATGCTAGATCTAAAGGATCATTGGAAAATGTTTTGGGTAATATTGTAACTGATAAAAACTATCCGCAGAAAAGGATTAAACGGTAGTCGACATATTAGTAAATGAGGAAAATCATAATTGCTAGCAAGACTTACAAAAAAGGATTATGAACGAGTTTATCGACTATAGAATCACGGTATAATTCGAGGACAACCGATAAAATAAAGTAACTACTTATACCTTCATTAATAGAAGCCATTGCCCGTTTTGTGTGAACTTGTATCCTCAAAAATTGCAAATTACAACTTTGAATATAAACACAACTCAGTCGCACAAAGAAATCTCTGACAAGTTACTACACTCACGAATTACTCGACGTCATAAAGGCTTTGAATTGCCATATATAGCATATTCCAAAAATGCGCGCGCACTCTCAGTCGTCTTCTTTTCATTGTTAAGGTAAAGGTTTATGAATGTTGCCGAGCTTTACAACCAATTTAAGAAATGGAAAAGATTACTTCAGGCTAGTTTAACTGTATTTCACAGAGTTTGGTGAATACAGTTACGAGTACAGATGCGCGAGTATATATGATACAGTTAAATTTTCAAATGTTGACAAATTTGCGGGCGCAACAGAGTGTTTTCAGTGACTCTCATGTAGGTGGCTCTGAGCTTGGCTTTTTTTCTCCAGGCGAATTTCGCTGTACCGCGGCTATAGAGAAACAAAACAGCATTAAATAGAAAAATAAATGAGTAGCAAGGGTTGGAGGGGTAATATAAGTTAGAGCACAAAAATTAGTGGGAGGAAGGACACCATTCCAGTGAACTTTTGGTTACCTATTGAGGTAAGTTTGTTTTCGCAACGCAAGGCTTTTTCATTCTTTCTTTTTCTGCGCAAATGCAGATTCTGATATCGTATCTTTACACTGAGAGTAGGTTTAGGGTATCGCAAGTTTAAGGTCTCCGGACTTCGAAGAACTGAGGCCTGGCCTTGTTTTTAGCATTTTCCTTCCCTAAGAAAAACAAAAGTAAAATCTCTCTTTCTCCCATTTGTCCTCCTTCCCTGGGAACACTGGGAAGGCGAAATTGAACGTAAACAAGTAAAATAAAGGCCTTATGCACTAATGTGATGTTATTTTCAATAATTTTAGTCTTTACTAGCGTCCGATTCTAGTGCGTATCTATCTCGAATTAGAGAGACGCATTTATTGATAAATAACTTTGTAATAAAAGCCATTATTAAAAACTGAATCATTGAATAATGCAATTCATTTAATGTAAATCATACTGACATCAAAAGTTGATACTGGTTGTTGCTACTTTGCAAGTGCAACCGAAAAGTAGATGATAGTGAATTTTCTTTAATAGTGTTATCTGAGCTTAGGAGAAAGGACCAAGTCATTGTATTGTCATGTTTTGTTGCTAGGGAACTGTAGGGCATAAATGTACCGTACAGGCCACAGGAATTGCGTGTTTCTTGCATGCAAGTAAGCAATATTACAAGCATATTACATGAGAAATACACAAGCGAAAAATGCTTGTATAAAAACAAACCAGAAGAGATAAAGGTATTGAGAAGGCACTTTCCATTTTTCAGAACTGGCTGGCCAGACCCGTTGCCGCACAAGTCAGTTAGCCAATGAAATCGGTTTTTTCCAAAGGGTTTTTAAGCATGCTGTTTAGGATTCGACTTATCTGGCGAGATAGTTTTGATTAAAAGTGAAATTCTCATTACGACAACAGTAGTCTCTCGGGCCTGTTGGTGGCCTGGAGGGGGCTAGGTTAGGACATGTTTGGGTGGGGATGTGTCCCTGAGACCCTCAGCCTATACTAGAGCTAGTTCAACTGAATTTTTCTACCCTATACAAGACTAAACTCCACAAATCCCCCCAATCGTAGAGTAGCCTTTAAGCTAAGTTGCTTGATTCTTTTGCATTTTTAATTAGCAATTCCCCGTTTTCCTAGACTAGACTAAAATTATCAACCAATTGATCACTTACAGTTTCCTGGAAAATGATACCCTATCCCATAGTAAACTATATCTATTTGAAAGCCACACCCTTCATAGTAGTCTGCTACACAGCCGTTTTTTAGTGTCGTCACGCAACGCTCCTCCCCACTTTTCAAATAATTTAAAATTATAACACGGAAAAATTACTATGGAACATATAATCAATGTTAACCTAAACAACTAATGATCTTCTTTTCTCATAGCAATCACATAATTATATATATCAGTGGTGGTGGGGAGGGGGAGGATGGTTCACTGATATATATATATATATATATATCAGTGAACTGTCCGTAGTGATTAAAGTGTTGTGTTCTCCCCCCTCCCCCCGTGAAGGAATCACCCGGGGGGCTTGGTGGCCGATTTGCATTAAAAGACCAGACACACCAAATTTCAGAACTCCGAAAATACTACTGAAGAGTAGTTTTAATTCCACCTTGTAAGAACAAAATAATTATGAAGTAAAAAGGTACCATGTATTGAAAAATGAAAAGAAAAGAAGGATGGCTTAAGCCCCCGGAGAGATTTGAACTCTCGACCCCTGGTTTACAAGACCAGTGCTCTAACCCCTGAGCTACGGAGGCTTACGTGTTTTGCTCGCCATATTTTTTAAAAACTGATTACTTTATTCACGACTATTCCAGTTGTTCCAGTTTCAAGCCATGTTTATTGCCGAGGGGGCGGGGGGAAGGGGTACTGCCATATATAATGAGAAAGAAGCAATTAAGATGGTTAAGTTGAAAATGGAAACGGGCTAGGTTGATAAAATATCAAAGTCCTATTTTTCCATGTTGCTAAATCGAGGTAAATATTCGTATTAAAAGCCACTACTCACCGAGATTGAAAAGAATAATTGTTTTAGTAAATGAACTCGAAGTGGTCTCAACAAAATCGGAAAGGAAACCAATAAAAAGTACGATTTGATTGACGGATCAAAAAATTCGAAAGTTACTTCTCACAGAATTTTCAAATATGGCCATGATGGAATTCACAAGTTTATCACTTCGCAAACAACAGCGTAATGGATCAAAATGAAACTGTTAAAACTTTGAATTGTTTCCTTTATACCCGAGAAGAAAAAGTAGAGCTTTGTTATTCTCTGTTATTTTGCAAATAGAAGTTTATAGCCAAAACGATTTGTTGTGTCGTACTTCGCATGAAGTGCTGACATGGCGCCTTGATTACTCGAGCCGTACAGTATGGCGTCCCTTTCCCATAGCATTCTTTTTCCTATTTACTGAAAAGGTAGAATTTCTACGAACATTTGCTGTCATATTTTATTGTCATTAATAAACTTCGACTTTTGAAACAAATTTTTGTTGTTAGGAAACGCTGAGTTCAAGAAACGACCTCTAAGCGAATAAACAGGAGCTGTGAACAGTCCATCGTGCAAAAGATTCAGCTTCAGTAAATGGAAAAACGCCGCTTTAAATTCTTCGAAGTCTTTTCATGCATTAAAAAAGTCAACCCTAAGATTTTGTTAAAAAGATCGTTTTCCTAAAAAGGGGGGGAAAACCGAGCTCACTCTTCATCCGCTCGCTAGGAGATGAATATCGTTGAAAAGTCTAAGATAGGAAACCAAACAGATTACTTAAATCCCCGGAATCACTTAGAGCGTATATGCTGAAAGTTCTTGTAAGTGATTGACAAAAAAAATACACTTTGTAGGTTCTCTGTTCCTTTTACATCCTTTGTAACGATCGATCTATTTTTATAGTGAATGATATAACTATAATATATAACTATAAAAATCACATCAAACAGAAGTTGCCATTCTAAAAAAAGACAGGCAATTGTATTCCTTAAAAGATCAATACCAAACATTCCATTTCATGCCAGCGCAAATGAGAAGCACGAGAATTAAAGCAAACAAACACGTGCTATGAGTGTTTTGAACAGCTTCAAAAATTTCAGTAGGTATGCGCAATTACACCTGTTGTGCAGATATAGTTCTACAAATACATTGTGCAACTGAATATAAGCGTCTGCCTTCCCTAGCAGTACGGCTATCCAACTGAAAGAATTATGGCCCTTTAAATGAGCAAATTTCACCACCAAGACTCGTTTCTAAGCAAAATTCTTCGTATTTCCACTTTTTGTGCATAAGTATATTCTTCTGTATCTACTGCCTTGGGAGTTCATTTATATAAAACGTCGCAGCTTGATATTTTGAAAACGAGCGACTTGGTGGTGAAATTTACGGTGGCCGATAGGAACAAAACAGAATCACCAAACTCAAAACAGAATCACAAAACCCTAAAACAAAATCACAAAATCCAAAGCAGGAGGTTTAACCTTTGTGATTACACGTGTCAGTCTTAGTAACCTGGCTAATGCACTGTTTTGTGTTACTGGTTTTTTTTCTCCGTTATCTATTTTGTATTTCCGTTTTTGGTTTTGTGTTTCCGTTTTGAGTTTTGTGTTTCTGGTTTGAGTTTTGTGTTTCTGTTTGGGTTTTTGCGATTCTGTTTTGGGTTTTGTGATTCTGTTTTGAGTTTTGTGATTCTGTTTTGGGTTTTGTGATTCTGTTTTGAGTTTTGTGATTCTGTTTTAGGGTTTTGTGATTCTGTTTTGAGTTTTGTGATTCTGTTTTGTTCCTATAGCTATCGGCCACCGTAGAAATTTACTCGTTTGACGTAAACATGTATAAGGGCTATTTTGCCCGAGGAGAGTTTTGCTTTAAATCTCACTGCAACGCAACATGATTTGTATTTATGATTTTTACGGCGAATTGCAAACTGGTAAGAATTTTTTGTGACTCTTTCAGCCAATTAACTGGTTAGGAGCAAAACTCGGGCCTGCTCAACTCATTTACATACAGAGAAAACAATTATAACTATTGTCTGGTAAGTATGTAGATAAGGTGATCTGAGTTCGAGAACTAATTTTTTGGCTCGGTAACAGTCGTATCTTGAGATGAATTGGTTTGATGTTTTCTTCTTTAAACAATGATCATCGGGTTAGGTTTGAAACCGGCCACACTTATAGTTACGTGACGCAACGAATCCCAACAACATTGGCCCAACAATGTTGGGAGTTGTTTCGTCTGTTTGGACGCAAGTAGCTTAAGATTGAGCTTATATTCAAATAAAATTGCATTGCTGTTTTGCACGTGGCGTCACAGCGGCCATGTTGGTGATCACGAACAAAATTGTTTATCTCCTCTGGGAACTAAAAACCATTTTCATGTAAATTATTCAAAACATTGTTTATTGTATTGACCACTTGGCCGCCTTGTCATATGGCTGCAAAGCAAGCGAATTAGATCTCTAGCATTGCATTATCCAATGATTCAGTTTTTAAAAAAATGAAGTGTTTCTTACCAAAGTCATTTAATTGTTTGCTTTGAACGTTTTTTTGCGACTTATCATGACTTTTTAAAACAATATAAATTTATTAATATTAAGTTCTGCTCGTTTTTGCCAAACCCATCTGCTACGAAAATAAGAGTCAAAATAAAACAGTAAGATATGTGTCTGAATTGATTTGTACAGCTCGAGGCAATTAGTGCACTTGAGAGTAAAATATTGATCATTTCAATTAATAAGGCAACTCAGTTTAAAATGCAGCTGCTAATAACGTGGACTTCGCAAAGCCATTATACATTGACAGCTTGAGACATGCAGAAACGTTACGTCGATTAATAGGCCATTATTGCCACTTAGCTGCAAGAGTAAGATGTTAATTGTCTTTCAAATTGATTACACTTTTTGTTTTTGTTTTGGTTGTTTGTTTGTTGTTGTTGTTGACTTTTCGGCAAACACTAACTAAAACGTGTTATTTATATAGTTTAGGCTTTATACATTCGGTGACAGGCCAAAATTTTGTCGGCCATTTCACCGTTCAGTTAGTTTTCTCTGGGCTGCCACCTACGTTGAATTTATGTTTCAACTTTCTTGGTTTGTTTTCCCTTTTATGACCTTTTGTTTTCGTTCTTTAATGCAATGTTCGTTTGATTATTGATTTTTTGCTGTATTTTTGCACGACATGTAAGCCGTGTCCACACGTATCGGACTATTTTTAAATCGTCTATTTTTGAATATACTATTTTTAAATAATTAAAAATTAGAATTCCGCTTAAACGTTTTCGCCCATCCACGCTGAATAGCAGGAAATAAAAAAAATAATAAACGCTTTCAAGAATATCCTTTTACGTGAGGACGGGGCCATAAACTAAAATGAGAAAATCAGGGGAAAATAGTTTTCCATGAACATCACGTTTCACACTTGACTTGGAAGCTTCTCGGACCGCTAGGCGTGTATTGACGTTTTGTATTGTTTCACGTTTTGACTGATGATTATGCAATACGTAGCCAAAGACTGAAGATGTTGGTCTTCTTTCTTCTACAGACAAATTACTATTAAAGTGAAAGGAGCAGCCGGAGCCGTTGCTGTTGCTTTACTTTTTTAAGCATACTTTTTAAGTACAGTGGAACTTCGATATAACGAAGGGCCAAAGGCAATGGCAAAATTTGTTCGTGATAACGAGGTTCCGTTATATCTGGTTATATAGAGGTTCGTTATATCGAGCCAGTTTCACTGTATCGCTGTTGATTTCGTCATGCATCGACACATTTACTAAATCATCGGAAAAATGATTTCACAGTACACGGTTGATATATGCATAAGATGTTAAAAATAGTTATAGGAAAAAAAAAATGAAAACAATCGATCAGGGATGGGCATATAAAACTTAATTCTCAACCACATTTGTTTTATACTCAACACAAACGACATGAGTCTTGAGGCAACGTTGAGAATAAGAAGTTCACATGCAATTTAGCTGGCAAATTGAGAAAATTTAAAATTGGCATATGTCACAACGGTTCACCGCTAGAATTATTCAGCGAATTAGCAAACAGTGCCGCCATAACACCTCTTTATAATCGTTCAGGAACGAAATGTATAATGTATAATCCAACACGTGGAATAGCGCTTAGCATGTTTGAATGAGTGTGACTATCATAATGAGCGCTTCTTAGAAATACTTTCCCAATAATTGCTAAATATGTTAAATAAACGATAAGTTCGATAAGTAGTTTAAGGTCAGTGTTACGATCAAAGATGAAGACATGTTCTTTTGATGGCTTATCCAATTTTAATAGAAGAGGTATCAGTCAAGATCAGGTAAACAAAAAGAGGACTTTATTATTCTTTCGTAGAAACAATAAAAGCAAATGACGCAGAAAACTGTCTTTTACGGCAGTAACGATGTTTTACCTTAAGCACGTAAGTTTAAATAACACTGAGAAATCTAGGGTTTCTTTTTGGTGAACTTGAGTCATTTGTTTTTCTCATATCTAAAGGGAGCAAAAACTTCCTAAGAAACTAAAAATGCTAGCGTGAAATTTAATGCAAATTTTGTGTAAACAGAAACAAGCTCGGCGCATAAAGAACAAATTTTGAAACAATAAATTATTTTGAAATTCTCTTTTCCTCTTTTATATGCTAAAATTCTGTCAGTGGTTCATGACCGCCGAGGGAAATCAACTGAATTTTTTTTTCATCCATTGAAGGCAATGAAACGTAGGAAAGTAAATTTCGTCATTTTTATAGGGAACACTTTCAACTTAACTGAGGAGCAAATCTAGTCTCTTTAGTGATCATAAAACTGTGCTGGTACTTAAATATAAACAAAATAGCCTAACGTGAATTAAACGGGAGGTAATCTATATGTATATATTCTTTAAAACAGACGAAAGCATCGTGCAATTTCCAATCGAATAGCAAATCTTTAATTTCTCTTGATGTAAAGACAAACTAGAGCAGCTGTTGAACAGCTTTATCGCGTCTTCATTGTAACGACTTACACTATCTTGTTCCGACTTTTCTCACCAAAACATTGCTGACCAATAATTTCACTGGCGGTTCGTTCCACTATTACATTTCCGTAACCATTTTTCGATCCTGTTGAAAGTTTTTTGCTCTGCGTTAAGATTTTCACTGGAACAAGAGCGAGAGGATGGGAAAGCATAACTCAAATTCATTTGAGTCAGGTTCCACTGTTTATCAAATTCCTGATCATAATATTGTATGTTTTCGTCAGAGGCGCTCCGCGGTACAATGCCAGAGCCAGTTTCCGTAAAATCGGCGGGACTGTTTAGTAAGTCCCTACTCACTGATAGCCCCACAGAGGCTGACAGGTCACCGCTGCAGCAACCGTCTATTTCTGTATAGATTTCTCTGCTTGTATCGTCGAGTACCATATGGATATAATCCATCGTTTTATACCGACGAGTCATATTAGTGATGCGATATCGAGACCAGGCTTTGAGAAATTCTGGGCAATCGTCGTAAAAGATTTCTTCTTCCAAATTACACGGCAAGCTTCGCCATCTTGGAATCCAAACAGAGTAATCGCTACGGTGGCTGGTGGTGAGAAAAGAAATGCAGGAAAATCGATCGGTGGCCAATGAAGTCCGGGAATGAATTTTCTTAGCACGGAGTTTGGTCGGATAACTTGAGTTATCTGGAGTTATAATAACAGGAGGAGAATAAATAGGAGATAAACATCGTTCACTTTGTGCCTCCATAGCCATTGATTTGGCCCTTAAAATTCATTCGAGAGTGGAAGCCTTTCAGAAAGATGGACTTGTAAATATTACGGCCTTAATAGCCAAGTTGAGATAGTATGCCGCGGACGCTTTTTCGATATTTAAGTCCCTCTCGCTAGGCGACACATAATATATTCCATCAGAAGATATTTTCATTCCCCTGTTTGAAAACCACTGAATTGAACAAAGTCGTAATATCATAAAGCAACTATTGGCTGTCATACACTGTTTTCTTATTGGCCCCGTGTGATTCGTGGACTTTAAAGAAAATCGCTTCGATACTTGGGAATGATTCGTATGTTTGTTTGACCATTTCTTTTCGATTATTCGAAACACAAAAGCTCCATATCCTATTTGCTTTATTAGACACAGCCTTCAAATGTTTCTTTTCGAATAATAGTCGATAGCGATGGCTTCACATTTGCCATTTTGTAAACAATGCGTCAGTGGACTTCACGCTGACGTCACAGTAGTGTTTTTAATCTTTCGCCGCTTTTCAAAAGTAGACAACAACAAAGTGTTTCAGCTGATCTTCATGTGAGCATGAATTATTAACAATTAGATCAATTTCAGAAAGTATACAAATGAAAGATGGAAACGAAACTGAGAACTAGAATGATTTATTCAAATCTGAATTTTTAGAATTAACAGAAAGAAATTGTTGTGTTGTAAAGGTAATTTCTTAAGCCGAATTATTTTTCAAGGTTAAAACTTATGAGACAATTCATCACCTGTTATCGGTTCACTTTAAAATCCTGTCACATATATGTGGCCCTTTAAGAAGAATGATTTTAAAGAGCTGATAATGTTTTTTCCTCGTTATCGCTGTGGCGGACTGAGTGCCCTTAGATACTCTCAATATTTCCTTTGACATCAGCGGAGTTAAACATCCGAACGAAACTCCGTAATTGTATTTCCATCTTTTAATTTGCTCTTGTGTGGTTACCCTTCATATTTGTTATATTACCGCAGGTTTATTTTCCCTTCACTCTAGCTGACGTAACCGTCACCAATATTTTCCGGGGACAGCTTTACACGGAATGGCAGTTGCAAATCGCATTCGAAGTGAATGCTCCTACACTTGTTTTCGAGCAAGAGTCTTGGTTTCTACATCAGGCATAGTGTTTAATCAGCAATAAAAACTTTCTCCCGTGAGCGAAAAGAAGGCAGTAAAGATCTGTTATTATTGTTGCAAATTTCAAACTGCTGGTTTGCAAAATAAAAATCCCTTTTAAAGCAATGTAATCACCTCCCCTTAACCCTGTTGGTCCTTTTGGTCAACACCAAGAACTCGAATATAAGCCCAGCAACACCAAAGGGGATGTCTCTGCAGAGTGAACCTTCAATATGTGCATTCAAGCTACAAATCGATCTGTCCTATGCACACTGTCAAAACCTTAACATGTCACTTAGTTTGACTAAATCATCTTAGGTTTATTTATTTATTTATTTATTTACTTCATTTGTTCATCTTAGTCTGCTTTACCCTTGACACTGATCTACGGTTATGGTTTGTGTTCTCATAGATCTTCCCACCAACTTATTCCGGCACAGTGCCTTTATCGTCAGAATAGTGATTGCGGGAGTTTGCAGAAATTTTTTTTCTCAATCTGCAAAAATTTTTTTGTCAGTTTTGATTTACCGGCAATTTGGCTTATATTATTTTTTTCTTCTTCTTCGTGCTGTTCTTGCTATGTTTTTAGCCATTATTTCGCCTAGTTCCTACTCTTGAAACGAGTGAAATGTCCGCCGTGTTTGTTTTCACAACCAAAAAAACTCAACCTCGTTCCCAGGTCTTCTCGGTTAACGGTGCATTAACCTTCAAGGAAGCTCCACTTTTGATGCTAAATTTGGTCATCAGTAGCTGGTTATAGTGAATTACTATTCATTCAAAATATTTCCCCCATTCTGATTGGATAAAAGTACACTCATGATTCACTATAACCAAAGTCCTTGCGATTGTGGACTTTGTATTTTTTCGACGTTGCTTGAAAAGGAGATAAAGGGAGATATAAAGGGAGATGTATTAAAAGAATCAACCATAAGAGGACACAGAAAAAATCTGAGCCCCAGAATTTTTCTGTGTCGTCTTATGGTTGATTCTTTACATCTTCCGTTATTTCCTTTATAATACTAATATCAGTGGCATAGGTTGGTCACTTGAAAACCAAGAATAAAAGGCGGGAAACATGGCGCGAAATTGACCCACCGCTGTGACTTTTGATTGGAAAAATCATTTTTCTCAGGTACAAAAAACATCGTTCGTGATTCTGATTGGACGTTTCACGCGAGAAAAACGTCGTAGCTTTTCAGTGAGACTGTTAACTATAGAAAAATATTCATAAAGGCAACACATTCAGTGCTTGCTGGATATGAAAAATTAGCTGGTAGGGGGGGTTGAGCAAGTTAGAAACGGCGAAACATTAATAAATAATAAGCAGAATTAGTCTCAAGTATCTGCAATTACAGTAGCTTACAGTACTAATGAACTACGGAAAATAAACGATACGATACTGTCATCAGCAACTTTTATTTGTTCCTTAAAATGCTATCATTTACAAAAAAATAATATTATTATCTTGAATGAAGCCGAAATCTACAGATTCATTTGGGTAACGAAGAAAGTGTGGAAGGTGACTTACCAGTTCTTATACCTGAACAGTAATCGCACTGCCCACAAATCTACTTAATCATAAATGCAATTTTTCACCAAATACAAGTGCTCTTTATGTCTTTGATGAAAATTCGAAGGAATTCTTAAAACAGTTACAACAATAACAACTAATAATCAAATGGTAAGCCGCGTCGAGCCTACAAGAAGAGTTCCTATTCCGAGAACCGATGTTTACCCATAAGCATATAGTATTACTTCATTTACACCATTAAAAATAAACAGCTCAGAAAAGCAAGAATATTTAACAACTATACTCTAAATCAGTGCTATGACTATCTCATTTTTCATTAAAAATTTAAACCTTTCTTTTTAAAGGTCCGAAGCTTTCGCAGGTTGCTCGAAACATGAATTCTTCCAACAATCTGTCTTAGTGTGCGTCTCTCGAAACTCCCCGCGAAATTAAAACACACTACTTTCACTGCACAAATCGTTTTTATGGAAATGTGATTGTAAATTTCAATGAAAACACAAAAACTTTACAAGAAAGAGAAGTATGTTGGTCTACGTTAATTTCCATAACCACTGCTAATCATCTTTATATAACGATAAGGAATAACCGTTACCGGGCCCGAAACCTCTTCAAGAGTGCGAGAAATGCGCGACAGTAGTTGAGAAGTAGCATCCTGCGCGTAGACATACAAAGTGAGCGACAGACCAAATAGATATTAATAGCAATCTGGAACATTTACAACCCTACATCTTACAACTCTTAGATTTTAGAGTTTTTCGCTTCTACTTTATTGGGGACTTGATTTACATAGGGTTAACCTCACCATCTGCCCTTTCAAGAGGAATTTCTTTTATTTTGTTTTTTCTCATCTCTTGAACAAAGTATTTATATAAAGTTAAAGATTATTATCGTTATAACAATAGTATAGCTTAAAAATAGTTTTTACTTAAATATGACGTTATTCTGAACCTTTGATCGATCTGATAATTAACAACGTGAAGTCTGATTTCACAATTTTGATAACCTGCAAAACAAAAAAAGAAAAACTAGGTTAGCTACACTTGACGAAGACGAAGTAGTAAACCGAATCAACACTATGACCGGCAGACATTGTTTTAGATTTAAGCCAAAACAAATGACAATTGTAAATTAATTATTCTAAAACTTAACCAGAACAATTCATACCAAGACAAATCTACTCAAATGAACCGTCGACGAAAAATATCAAATTAACCGTATAAGGGCCTGTTTACATGGAGATGGGGGACCCTAGGTAGGTGAGGTAACCCGCTTAGGTGGGGTAACCCGCCTGTCCATACAATCTCTCATTTTAATGCGATCAAGTTTGCATGTTAGGTGGGGTAACCCGCAACATGTTACCTCACCTACCTGGGGTCCCCCACCTTCATGTAAACAGGCCCTAAGCTTGGATCACGACGAAAAAAGAAACCTTAGGTAAGGTGAGGTAATCTTTATTTATGCAAGGTGTTACAAAATCATCAGGCATAAAATATTATGAAAAAAAATTAAAACCTTAATTACATTTACTGGGTTCTGCTAAATGCAGTATTAAAATTATTTAATCAAGTATATATGAAAAAAAAAGGCCTGTTTTCCATGTGCCGCACCTTACTTGATATTATAATAACTGTGCAAAAGTGACTTAAAATTACTTAACGAGTCTGCTTGCCTTAATGTTTCAGGGACTATTCCACAGAACAGCACCACTGTAGCGAAAACTATTACGGAGATAATTTGTACGTAGCTGTGGAATACGTTAATTTACTTACAGAGTCTCGAAAAGTGTAATTGAAGTGTTATTAGATCGAGCAATAAATTTCGAGCTTAGGTGATCAGGAGCAAGGCCATCAAAAAGGATTTAAAAACCGTTAAGGCTTTTTGGAACAGCTGCGATGCATCTGCGTCATAGCTTGAGAAAGTTAGAGCTCGCGCTGCACGATTTTGGAGTTTTTTTAAGTTTGTCTACTAGTTTTATTGCCACAACGTCCCCAAAAAACATTGCAATAGTCGAAATGCGGCTGAATCAAGGCTTTGTAGATAAGATATGCAATGTTGCTGGGGGAACAAATTGCCTGAACCGTTTGATATCTGCAATACCAGAGGCAATTTTTTAAGCCAACTTCTCGATTACTGCCTCAGGTAAGGTCTGCATCAATGAGTACACCTAGAAATTTTGACGTTGATACGTGGTTTACGGGAGTACCATTGATGCTCAGACCTAGGTTGTATTTATCATTTTCCGAAACTAAAATATGGGAGAAGGTTGAACTGATTTCTATAGTGTTATCAGTATTCCACAAACTTAAGCCCGGGGACCTCACTACTAACCATGCGCTGTAAATGTATTTGATGTCTGCGCTAGCCTAGTTCACATTATACCGGATTGCTTTCGTGCCGGCACGAAAACCATTATCGGATGATGCTTCTGTTGTGACATATTAAAGGACGGTGATTTCGGGGCGATTTCTGTGACTGAGTGAAGCGGCGCCGCTCCGCGCCGATCTCTAAAGTGGAAAGTCACAATGGGTGTTCTTCAAATGATACGGATATCTTTTCGTGGCGGCAGAAAGGTATAGTGTGCCGAACATAAGAAGGACGACTACAAGTTTCGAATCAGTATCGCGCACTGTCGCACTTTACTTTGCAACATCGTGCACTGTACTTTACAAACGAGATTACTCCATTTATTTTTTCAAGAGAAGACTCACCTTCTTCCTTGTATCTTTGTTAAAACGTTTCTGTCCCCTTTTTGCCATTTTCTGATCTTTCTCATAGTTTCTTCATTCCAGGACTCTATGAGGCTCTTCGATGTCAGAAGCAATTTTCTTCTCAAGGCATTTTCGTACCCACCAATCAAGAAAATATTTCCCGTCCGGAGGGACGGGCAGGTAGATTCTGTGTTGCTCCAAATCTTCACGCGACCCTTATGAATAGTGACATTATTTTGCTTTATGACTCGTCCAACTTTTCCGTGTATTATTGATCCTTTGTTTTGACGCCTTTCAATCAGGATCACTTTAAATTTGATCACTGAGAAGTAATAAACATAATTAAGTGAAGGAAAGATGGAACACCATGAATACAACAGTATCTAAAAGAAACCGCATTTGGAATGTTTACATTTTCAGTCTTCTTAGTCTTTGACACCTTAGACACATCCCTTAAATCTTTTTAAGAATTCACATAGGCCATCATAAGAAATTCCACACGTGGAAGGTTAGTTGGATTAGTCATAAATCTATTTCCCAAATTTATTAATAGGCAGACGCTAATGTAAAATCATGTAAGGCGATACATTTATGACCCTTCCAAATCCAGAAGCCTTTGTGTATACTCTTTTTTTTCTTTATAAGAATATCGAGGCTGAATTTGCAAAATTTTAATATTTTTTTAAGAATAAAGCCGAGGCTGAGAGTTTGAAAAGGATTCATTGAATTGATCTGTAAATTAAATACTGTACAATTTAATTGTTCTTAACTTAACGGTAGAAAATTATCCCTTTCACTAAACGGCAAAAGTGGAAATGCCATGAGCTGTAATTTATAATTAAGAATAATTCAAGAATATTTCAGCCTATAATTGACAAAAAAATAAAAATATTCAGCCCCGGCAGGAGAGAGAGACGGGAGATATTGGGGTAAACTACTTAGGAGTGTGGAATGCAAAGTAAAAAAAGTATGAAATGAGTTGGATGGGCTTACCGTAGTCGTATCGGTCGATAGTGGAACTGTCATAGTTAATGTGCGTCCTTCCTTGGCAGGGTTCAGGATTTATAACACCTGTAGATTTGAGAAAACAAGCGAGTGAGCATTAAACTCGAAACCGCCAAACTAGACTAAATTCCCAACCCAGGAAGTGTCTATCTGCCCGATCCTGGTACCAGGTGGTAAATATCGTGTCAGAGTGTAAGAAAATAAAATCTTTGGCAGATAACCTCGATCTTAGGTTATTGAGTGAAACTTTCCATGTTTATGACCAAAAGGCGGTTTGCCACTTTGATTTAATAGTGGTGTCATACAAGACGTATGATGAAAATGGACAGCATCTTTCAGGAGTCGGATAGTGGTTTTACGCCCTTTTAAGCAGTCTTTCCTTCCTCCTTTCCTTCCTTATCACAACCGTAACCTTCTTTCCTCGACAATGAATTTTATAACTTCATTTCGTATCCGTTCCATATCAACGTAAAGCAATTCAGGGTGAGAAATCACCTCAGACAAGAAACAGTTTTATAATGGTAATTGAACTAAGTGGAGTGCAATTTGGTCTGAAATCATACGCGTGATTTCAAAATCGAACGAGCGCGCAGCGCGAGTTTGATTTGAAATCACAAGTAAATAAATCACACTGCTGAGAGCCAATCAGATTGCACGGATAGCCACTGATTTCAAAGTGGATGTAATAAATATATTTAACACACCTCTACGAATAATCCCCAACACGCGTAAGAACTACGTTGATTTTAAAATGACAGTCTGGTGCTACCTTAGGAAAACGTGCATTCCTTTCTTGTTACACAAGCTACCACTACCACTCCCTGTGTCCCAAGATCTGAAAACTAAGAGCCTCTAGTGAGCTAAACATATAGTCACGCAATCGTGTCTTGAGCGTCCTCTTGACTAGTCAGTGGCCAGTTTGAATTCTGATTTTTGATCGCATAATTATTGTATAGTACCTTTTCAAACAAAGAATATGAAAACGTTTGCCTAGTCCCTAGGCCTCATTATCCATTGACCGAGTTTGTCCGAGAAGGTCTGGAAGATGAAATCGTAAGCACAACAACACGACACATTAGGTTCCTAAATACGCGGCACGAGAACAAAGATTTCACGTCATGACTCGTCGTATGCGGTTATCATGAAGCATCGATGGCCATCGCCCATTATCAGTTCAATGATAATGTGGGAAATTAAATCATCTCCCAGGATGGGCGAAAATTCCGGATTGGATTTTTAGCGCAAGTGGGCGAAAGACGAATTCTGGTTTGCGGTCTTAATACTCTCCCTCCCCCAAATACAAAAACGGTTATGAAACAAAACAAAACTAAACGGCGGCTTTCTCGGCAAAAATTCTTTAAGAGAGTCTAAGACTTTGAGATTAAAGAGGTATCAATCATTTAAAAATATGGGTTACTAACAATGTTTTTGGTCTGAATGCCAGCTCCACACGATGGAATTTGTAGACTGCTGCAGACTCAAACGTGAAAATGTCTTTATCTTAGTGAACAAGAAAAAAATTAGGCACTCTTGTTCGTCTCATTAACTAAGAACAAACACGGTTACTAATAGTAGCATGGGGCATTCTTTCCAATAAACGCAAAGCCACGATTTTATCTTCTGAGTGAAATTCTAAAAGCTGAATAGCTGATTGGAGAGTATAACCTGTGATTTTCATGTGTTGATGACTTCCTCTTTCATGAGTTACTCGGCTACGCCGGAGAGCGATGAGCTGGTATTTGACTAATTTTTCGTTCATTTTACATTTTCAAGGCAATAAACATTCTTATCATCATAAATTTCAAGAATACCCGCTTGAAAAATTGTGTTGCCTTATCGCATAGTTAAGGATCGTTGACAAAAAAAATGCACTTCTGTCACAATTAAGGATTGATGATCGACAACGAACTGCTCAAGGACTTCAAAGAATGCAAATTTATACTCTTTCAACTTAAGTTTTGGAATTTAATTTATACCGACAACTATAGAAATTCAGTGCCAAGGAAATAAGCTGATAATTGAGGCATACCTCTCCGAAATCTAAGCTACATAAAAAAAGCCAGGCTGTCAAGAAAGAGTTGTCGATGATGGAGAGATAAATATTACACAAGACATGTAAAGTGTAGATTGTTCATGTCTGGTTACAATAGGATAAGCTGACCTCGCAAAAGTTTTCCGCTCATGCTTTACAATATAGATTCTTCGTCTTTGGATTCTTAGCGTTTTGTTTTGTTTTTTTTTTTTTCAAATATTCGGGACTTAATTGAATTGATGACACTAGATTTAATTATTGAAAGTTGAAAGAAGAATTGTGCCAACAAAAAACGAAAAGGAACGAGAGATAAGAGGAAATCAATAAAAATTATAATTCAGTTGCCTTCGGATGGGCTAGGAGAGAACGAGTCTGTTCAATGAAAAACACCTAACTGAAGTCTGAAATATTGTTTGTGCGTGGAAGTGAAGTAAGGTAATAACCTTCTTAGGGGAGGACAGAAAGGGCAGGCAAAAAGGCCTAATAATCCTTATAAAACTATTTTAAAGTTATGCCTACAGCTAACGACAATCAGAAGTTTATGGCAGCTCTGGAAAAGAGTGCAGTAAATCTTGTTGAGAAATATAAGAAAGCATTGCTATTAGAGTCTCCTTTTCTAATTTCCAAGCAAATTAAATTTGGTATGCATGCAGTGAACGGTGTGGCCGCAGTAATTGGTTAATTGCTTCGTGTGGTTAGTAACATAAACTAATAATGGGCCCATTCACTACTTTGTTTAACCAGATCTTGAGTTTTGATAAGCTGTTGAGTAACACATAATGCCTTGTTTATTTTTTGTCAAATTTTCAGTGTTGTCTTAGTAAGTTAAAAAAAAACTCTTGTAAATTAACTCGACGGGTAAAACGTTCAAAATACTGTTTTAATCTTTATATCGGGCTTAGCATCCAAAAACTGCGAAACAGTAACTTACTTGTAGGTCTTTGAACAACTTCAAATGACTCGGGCTGCACGCAGACTCCATCGGAAAAGTTGGGAAGTTCTTCGCACTTAGCAAACCTCGGCCAGTATCCTAATGAGCCAGCACAATCCCTTCGAACCTGCTCGCAGAAGGAGCGACATGGCTTGATGTTCTCCTCTGACTCATCTATTCCTGGTAAGCAGATTGGTGCATAGAAGGAGCAAAGAAAAAACACGGCGTGTCTGGAGCAGTTTAACTCATGCATACGTTGACTGTATTGCTGTACTGATCTATTGGCGAAGACTTGATTGCGGTCGCCTACTAAATTGGGAAACCGGGTCAAGTTGTATGGCAAGACTCGACGACATAACGGAATAGTAATCTCTTCGCACTTCTGTGAGTCCAAATGAAACCGAAATCCATCTGTTACAAGGACAACTAAAGTAAGCGAAAACACTCGCACAAAATGCATCTTGCCAGGGCGAACTAATTCAGCAGACAGCTGCAAGTAGCACTAGAAGTAACTGACTCGAAAGCCTTCAGGGGGCTACTTTTATACCCCCGCTTTACATTTCAAGGCATTCAAAAAACGCTTGACTTACCAAAAAAAACGCTAATCCAGATAATAAATAAAGTTGTTTTTCATCTGATGATCTTTCCTTAACCTTTGCTCTGATCGAGGTGAGGATTAGCGATTTGAAAAATGTCGGCCTCTATTTGTCTTTTGGCATTTAATAATAATCTACCTGTGAAGTCGTGGGAGCAGCAGGTCGTAAGACTGACACACCCTTAACATGAGCGAATGAAAAAGCGACAATTCCGCCGTGTCTAAACATTTTCCCTTTCCGAAAAAGCCAGAGATTGACGTTAAATCTCACAGTTACGTGCCGCTTGTTCCTGATGATTATCCTGCTAAGGTGTACAATTGAACTCCCGATCCTGATAAGAACACTTCAACTTAAGCACCATTTTACCTCGACGGATATACGTATGCGAAAATTATTCGAACGATTGAGATTCCAGGGGCGTTTTTTTACTTTTAATTGAAAAGGATGAAATATTTCGAAGTTAATAAAAGGTAACTAAAATTCTACAAGGTTTTTCGCAATGCTTGAAATTGTATGCCGGCATTAAAGAGAAATTTTGCCGACTATCATATACTTATAGTTTTCAATCCAGTCATTTACATAAAGCTTTCTGCTTAAAAGGAACCTCTAACCTCAATAAAATTAATGAATCACTGCCCTATTACAGGAATAGGTGAATTAGACTGAATCAAACCTTTCCGTTGTGGCAATCTTGTTCAGTAGGCCTACTCAGGAAAAGTAATTGATTGTTTTTTAATCTCTCTGCTTATGACGATTAATTTGTCTGGGAGGGTATTTATGACCATTTATGGCCGCAAGGCGATTTCCGGGAAACCACACAGGTAAGATTTGTTGTTATCTGGGAAACATGGCTGGCTTAAAGAAGCCCATTTTCATTTACCTAACAATCACCAAAAACTACAGTAACATCCTTAAAAATGACCCCTTTGCTTACCCGTCTCCCTTTTTATTAACATATCCATCGTCAATGCAACATACTAATTAAAGAGGGTCGGATCTGGGATCCGCCTCAGAAATCACGTTACCGTTATTATAGTATCTAAAGAAATCCACTCAGTTGCAAACCACGAGGACTTTTCTTTCTATTTAAACGTTTAGGACTAAAGAATAAATTTACTATACTTCCGCAAAAGAGAACAAATTACGTTAAAAAGTAAAAAGCGAAAAAATTACATTTTTTTAACTGCATCGAAAAGGAAGGGGTAAAATCTCTTTGCTGTATCCAAATTAAAACTATGGCACATTTCAAGTTTATTTTAAGAGAAATATTTCTGACACTTGATAAAAGCGGTTGCCATATGCAAAAATTTACTTGTTTATTGTTAAGGTTTGGACTGCCGCTGAGAAAGAACTTAATGAACATATTGCGTACAGGAGGTTTAAAGGAGGAATCATTCCCAAAATTCCCTCTTGCATTATATCTAGGATATTCTGTAACAGTACAGGGTGGTCTGAAAAAGCTCTAAAAATGTCTGATGCATATGTTAAGGTCTGTCTGCTATTTGTGTTCCAGTGTATTCTGATTATGTAACCTTGTCATGTAATCGTTCAGGGCTTCTTATATTTTATTCCATTATCGCAAAGTCTGGTGCTAAAACTGCACTCTGTACACTCGTACTGTCTGCTTGCCAGCGCCCTCTAATTGACCATTACGTAATTGGCCTGCGTAATGATATCAAGACACGTGTCTAATGAGAACATTTTTCTAGCATCTTATTCTGACATCCTGTGTAATTTTAGTCATGGCTATACACGTACGTGTGCGGCCTCGTAAGTGCTTCTAATGGAATCAATGAAAATTTCCGTCTACTCTCTGGGTATTTCTCTCGAAGTCCCATGCTTTGTACCCTCAAAACCCATATTCTCGCATTCCAACTGCTACTTTATCAGCTCTGTTACTAAGCAGTAAACTATTAAACGCCTCTGAGGCATAGCTAAACAGCTTGTGAAATCTATAAAAAAAACACTAAGGATATAACAACGTATAACAAAAAGGAAGCCACCACGTTCTTTTCCATGTATATTTTGGGTTAATTCAATTATATTGTCCTATTATCTTTCATGTTTAGAAAGGAACACTATATCCCAAAGTAAATAGCGAAGGCTTCAGTTCTTAGAGTGATGAAAGCCAATAAATGTTTCTTCGTCAATAACGTTGTTCTAGGATCAGTTAGTGCTTCTGAAGTGATCAAATGGTATTTTGGGCATCATCAATGGGCATCGATGCATCCTTGTTTCAATTTTGACTCTGATGTTACAATTTAAAACAAGGTCAAGATACTATGTAGCAAAATGGAAGCCATATGCGTGCAAATAGTTTTTTTTTTCTGAACAGGCCATGTTTGATCCTCACATACCATGACCGGCTGTTCAAAATCAGAGGCAAATTTTACTTACTTACGGAAAAGAACGTGGTGGCTGCCATTATTTTAATAACGGAATACCTTGTTAAATGTTCTTTATATTATTTATAGATTTAAAATAACCGATTTAGCTCCCCGGAGGCGTTATGGAATACCTTGATCAGCCTTCTTTCCCAGAGGCAAATATTTGTTCATTTTAATTCTACCTTTTGCTTGGTTTTAGTTCTCGTTCGTTAATTAGTTTAACCCAACATTATGTTGTTATAACTAAATTCGACGCACAATTTCACTTTTACGTCTTACAAGAAAACTCCTAAATTTTTAGAACAATTTAAAAGCTAATAAAATAATCAAAAAAAGCCAATCGGTTAATATTAGCTCAACGAGCAATTTTCTGGATGTTGTTCTTAGGTGTTCTAGTAAGCAATATTAAATAAAACCTTTTTTCCAGTAATGTAAAAGGAAGTAGATGATCTGTTGCAAACTCCAGCTGTTTAAGTTGGACAAGTATGTTGCCCTGAACTTTGAAAAGAAAGTTCGATAAACAAGATACACTAATTCAGCCGGTAATTAGATCAAGAACTAATCTTTGATTGATTGACTTTTTTGGGGGGAGGGGGGGGGGGGGGGATGATCCATAGATCACAGTTAATCCATCCGAATCGGCCACTTGCCGGCACACAGTATGTTGCCCCTTGCTAGTTAATGGAAGGACAAATTCCTTTGACTGTACTGTTTTTTTTTTAAAATTTTTTCTAAATTTAAGGGACTGTCAACCTTGAAAAGACAAATGGCCAAAGATTATTAAAAACGGCTGTTCCAGCGATCAAGCATTTATTCCAAAAAAAAGAGGAAGAAAGAACAGTATTAAATAAATTTAAATGTGATTTTTGAATGAGTTAGTGACATCACAAATATAAATTGAAGCCGAAAACCCATAGTTATACATGAACTTTGTGGGAGTTGAATGACTGTGGATTACTGATATTGCGATAAATGCTCGTTATGCCGTTGGACAAGCATTCCTACTTTAACTAATCGGTAAATTCATGAAAATTAAAGGAATTTAGCACAGGGAGAGCGAGCCACAGAAGACCAGTTGAAGTAGATTTTTCAAGACTCGAAGGAAGATTGAATTTGAAAAGTTGATCTTAGCGTATTCAGCTCAAAAATACACATTAATTTATATTCTCATTACTGCACCGTAGTTATTATAGTTAGTAATTGTTAACAGACCGGCCTAAAATGATGCTTTTAATTTTAGCTTTCCATTCACACAAATTATTTTCTTTCTCTTTAATGTGATGAAATCATTCTATTAATAACTGGCTTAGACGTGAATTTAGATATTGTGCACATCTTGAAAAATGGTTGCCCGCACACCTAGTTTCTTGTTCGTCACTCCGCTGTTGCGCCCTTCCCTAAAATACTTACCAAAAGTCTAGTCGCTTTTTCCTTAGCTTTTTTGAACCATCTTTCCCACTTAGAATTCATTTAATTTGGCTCTTTTCATCATTTTTTTTCGTTCCTACCGCGCAGTGTTCTGTTTGTAACATATTTTGAAAACTCAATAACCTGTCAGTATGGGGTTAAAAAAACTCAAAGAAAAGGTTGTTACATGTAATTAACATCGCACGATCTCTGATCATTGTTACAGAGAAACACTGACAACAAATGTCACTTGTTCGACGTTAACTTGGAACTCAAACGTTTTAATCAACTCTTAAGAGGTCTCTTAATAGATTCACAATGACGGTTGTTAGGCTTCCATTCTAGCACAGTCTGGAAGCCACTTTAAAAATCTAGAGCGCACGTTTTCACCCGATTGGCAAACGACCAACCATGATGGCTATCAAATTCTATTTAAAAACGGCTATTCTAGTACAAGAAATCTACATATAGATATTTCAGTAATGGACGTCTGATGTTTTACATGGTTGACTTGCTAACAGTTTGTCATAGTTCTCTCTATAACAGTAGTAAAAACGCCATTTTGAAGTAACTGATTTTGAAAGTTAATTATTTTGAAAAAGAAAGGCTAGGACAATTTCACGCTGGATTAAGCGTCAGTTTCATACTTTATAAACAGGAGTCTGTGAAACGGCAGCGGAAAGACGCGAGAAGACCCATAATTCTGAGTTGATCATAGCGAGCACAAGTGGGCAGTAATCAGTATGGTGCCTCTGTAAATCGGGGACCGGAATAGAGGAAAGCAGTGACTCCCAGTTTTAGTTGTTACAGGTCAGTACTTGTTACACAATTTAACATCTGATGTTACATTTACACGATGAATAAAAAAAATTGTCAAGAGAGGTTGTGGTGCTCAACGCTGTGAAAAACAAAATGTAACCTTCAATGCAGATTTAAAAAAAAAAAGGAAGAAAGCTCACAAACAAACAACAACAACATGAACTAGGTTTTGTTAGAGATCAGTTTGTGAACATACTTCCATTCAGTGAGTATGATCTTAATTAAAAGATTCAGTCTTCAGAGGCTTCTTATGCTGCCCGAATGATCCTAAAATGTCCAAGCTGTGCGTGAAGTGTCTGACTGGCCGGCTTTTTTACTGTTTTTTCTCCTCCCGCTTTACGCAATGCCGCGGGGACCTCCCAGATAGATCAAACAGCTTTTCTGCCGCTGTAGGCTCGAACGTTTAGAAGAATGAAAGGCACATGCTTATTCCAAAAAGAGAGTAATGGTCTCGGGTTGGGGGAAGCTATTTGCATTACAATGTATTTGCTTTCAACCTTAGCACCTGCCATCAACTTTCTATAAAAACTGACAAAACAGTGCTTTGCGTGATGTTTAAAAGTCTTTTTATAAGTTGGCCTCAAATAAAGTTCTGGCTACGAGTGTTCAAACGTTGGGTAGCGCAATACACCGCCAACGAATTGCGTGTGCTAGCCACTGGATAGTGATTTATCCCGTGGATAGTGTTACTCCTTTCAAACAACTGGGGCCTGGTAATCAAAGGTTAAATTTTTTAAATTAATGCTTTCAGGAGGCTACAGGAATTTCAATTTTTTGCAACAACAAAAGTGGCAACAAAGGTTTCAAGGTGCGGCATTAGATAAAGGGGGCTGCAGAATTTCTGCAGCATCAGATTAAGGGGTTGCAGAATTTCTGCAGCATCACATCAAGGGGGTCTGCATAATTTCTGCAACATAGATGAAGGAGGCTGCAGAATTTCTGTAGCAACAGATCAAGAATTCTGCGGAATTTCTCCGGTATTAGATCATAAACGGTGCTACAGATTATCCTTGGCACCACAGCATGTAAAGCGGCTGAAGAATTTTTGCAGTATCCACTCATCAACTGCGCCGTCCTGCTTAAAAATAGTTCATGTGGAATTCAACCTTTGCAATTATCATGGTAGAGATGATTTTTTGCGCACATGCTACACACTGCAGAAATAAATGAAAATTTTATTAGATCTTAAAATTAGGAGTAAGTTGAAGAGTGATGAATGACTTCATGCCTATGTCATAAGAAGCCTCAGGAGTACAGGGAATCGGTGCTGAAGACCCCAACAATGGCAAAGGTTTCAGTATATCTTTTTGCTCAGCAACCCTCTCCCCAATCAAAGACATATATACAATGTGATCAGGAATCAGTGTGTTTAATCGCATCAGTTTCCCCTGGACCGTTGGATAGCCTATTACTTGAACTTCCGGCTAAAGTTTGTCGGAAGTTGACGTTTTCGTGATCCTACTTACGCGCAACATAAACTGTTTTCAAATATGTCGCTCGTTGCTTTAGATTATCAACCTACCCTTCATATAGTCCCTACGTGCAAGGAATAAACCCCGACCTCTCAATGAGGTACTCATAATGTCAATATTAATCTTCAATTTTTCGAATTCTGCGCCTCTCACTACTGTGTTAACTGCCAATTTTTCCTACTTTATGAATATATTTTGTTTTTCTTCAATTTTATTCTGAGGCACCAATGCTCAACTAAAAAAGCGTGAAGCCAAAACTAATAAGATACCCTTGTGTAGCCCAGTGGATAAAATCCCAGCTTTTGGCAACTTCAGACCCGCCAGACTGAAAACAAATGTCACCTTTCTGAGGTCTTACTCTCTTATTTTCCCTTAAACTGACCCTTGACAGCTAATTTCGTTCTTAGTTAGCTTTGCTTTTAAGTTCTTTTCTATCTAGGCCCGTTTAGCAAATTGTGGAAACAATATGGTCCATCATGGTCACTTGTTGCGTGCTGGTCTGCCAGTTAAATCTTAACTCACTATTCTTAATACCCTGATTATCACCTCTTTTATTGCGTCTTTACATCTCAATAAACACCTCCAGCAGCTTCTTAGATCTTTTTAATTTCTAAAGGGTAGATTGACCTAGATCAGTTGACATCAACGTAGAGGAATGTACACAGCCTTACAGGATAATTCGTTTCCAAAATCAATGAAGTTCACTAAAGAACCTTTAGACTGTAACCTTTCTGCTATGTCATTTTTTTCTTCCCACCGATAGTTGCTTTAAATGAGTCTGAATTGTTCCTTTCCCTCGACAGCCTCTCCGTGAGTTTTTCGGCACCTCAGGCTACAACTATTCGCCAGCATTTTAAGAATGGATTAGAAAGCCTTTTTTTCTTTTACGACTGGAGGCCGAGCAACTTTTTAAAGACAAATTGTAAAATAGATGCTGAATACTGTAATATCGGAGAGAACAAATGTTTTTTTTCTTTTTTCTAAGGAGCTCGATATATCCTTTATTTAATGCCGTTTACTGTGGAACATTCCGCATACTTTGTGGGTGAAAAGGAAATCAGCTTAGTGACAGAATTTTTCTCCTCTCCAACAATTAAACTCTCTTACTGGAAAATGGAGGACATACAAGACGCCCGCTGTGCACGCAATCTTCACGATTTTCTGGCATAGTTCCATATTCAATAAAGTGGAAGGGTTATGAAGCCCGACAGACTTCTCTTTGTTATGTTTTTGTTAGCTTTTTTCATTGCATTAATTTGTTCAGTCACAATTTTTGAACAAAAAAAGGATTGTGTACGGTGAGGGGGCTTCCAACATAAACTGCAGCACCTTTGTTTTCAACTGTGATGTTTCCCGGCTTTCCCCACCAGTCTCCTCTATTGAGAGAGTATTAATGACTCGAAGTAATCGGATGAAATTCGGGATACTACTAACTATGCATATATAGGTCTGATGAGGCATCTCTTGAAAACCAACCATTTCCCTTGTTCCCTTTTTCTCTTAACTCAAATTAATACAAGGATGAAAATTGTCTTATTTATACATAGCTTGATTTTCGAAACCGTTGCTCCAAGAAAAGCAGCTGTTAGACCAGGCGATGACCACAATGCGGGGTTCTGACGTTCGTCAAGCCGCCCGTCAAGCCCCACTGAGTACGTGTGAATACAAGGCCGACCAAAGCGTGTTTTGACTAAGCCAATTATTGCTTGATAACTTTGAGAAACGACTTATGTATTTTAAATTAACGGATGATTCGACTTAAGGGAATCAAATATTTTGCTTTTATTTAATCTATATAAACTGATAATTAATTGACACGATTATGGTTCCTCGCGTCACGAAAAGCACAACGTGTCCTTGTACATGACGCATTTTTCGGAAACCAACAACAACTGCTGACCGAAGTGCGCAAGCAGTATTCAATATGGTGGACAGGCTGTCGGACTTTACATAAAAAATGTCCTTCAAACGAGTCGGCGATGATCCCAGCGCACTGAGAATACAAAAGGTTTGGTATTTTATCTTACTGCCACAGGTCGCATTCTATCTCTCGTTTCCCTCGTGACAGAGCGTTAAGCTGATCCAACTCATTGAGCTTTTAATGTTATACTTTAAATGTTTTTCTTTGACGTAGAAACAGCGAGTTTCTGACCTATTACTGGAAGATATTCCTGATGACGAGGCTAAACTCTTAAAAAATGGAAGGTAAAGAACTGTTCAGTAAGCAAGCTAATAAAGATTGAGAAATTCTCAGCTGTTAAGAGACAGCAGAAGAGAAAAGCTTGCATTTTAGTTCTAAAAAAATTTGAAATCGTAATTAGTGGTAGAGTGCTCTGTTAACAGTAAGCCTTATCCCTAGAAATTAGGTGAGCAGGAATTTAAGTATCAATTGTATTTCTTATGATCAGATTGCAAAGGCTGGAATGTCTCTGTAAAAACGCATGTACTCATTCATTTCAGCAAGACAATTAAAAAGCAACATGAAAATGAACATGTTTAACTGGTGAAAGACTGCAAATCATAGAAGTTAAATACATCTGCCATTTATAGAGGATTATTTTACAGCACACTCGCCATAGAGAAATACAAATAACTTTCAACAGAAAAAAGCTCAAGTGAGAATTTTGCTTTTCAAGTTCTGTAAGCCTTGTGTAACAGGCCATTTTTGAGTTGCAGAAGCTCTCACTTTCAATACAAGGCCAATTGCTAAACTTTTCCAGTGAAATATTATGAGATTTAATTGCAAAATAATAATAAAAAATCATTTTAATATCAATGGCTTCATACTTAATCTTGTAGTCTGAAATACCAGCTGTCTCCAGAGTCTCTCTCCCCTGCGCCCCACGGGTTAAGGGCTGGAGGAGGCTGACATTTCAGACTATTAATCGTGCTTTAAAATGGAGGCTTGGGGCAACTCATGAATGGTCTATTGATGCAAACTTGGGAGGAGATATTTTTTTATTGTAGTACTGTCTCAATAGGGCAAGTGCTGGCATTCTATTCACCACTTTTGTTTTGCCCCTAAAACACCTTGTTCACCCACCAAAAGTGTTGCTCATCCGTTGTTTCCAGTTTCTACTGGGTATTAACAATGATCCCAAGAAGTATTGAAAACAATACTTATACAATTTTTTTTCTTTTTTTTTTCTCAGCGGGGGGCGCAGGGGGGTTAGGGGAACAAGGCATATCAATATAGGCAATGTAAAAGTGGCAAATACCAAATTACACAGTCACATCATCTGCACCAGCCTAGTTAGATCAATGAGCTAGATTTTGCCATAATTACGGTGTGCAAGGTAATGAGCAAGTATTGGATTTGGTTCTGTGATATCTTGAATAATCAAGGTGAAAGTAAGTTTTTAGCCTCAGCTAATAACACTTACACTTAGCAAGACCTTTATTACTACAGGTGTATATTACACAAACTAATCTGATATACAATTTATTACACATTGTTTTGAAGAAAATAAGGACAAAAATACCAATGCACAGTTTGACATTGCTCTTGGAAATCATGCATCTGCAATGCATGATTTCCATGATTTCCCAACCTACAGATTAGTCAGATAACTACAATGTGGCTAATTTGTAGGTTGTACTGATTTCTAGAATTAACCTTATGTTGCTATATGCCAATGAAAAGATAGTTGGTACACTGGTACAGTGTATAATAATAATATTAATAATAATATTATTTTTATTGCTTATTTCCTTGTAGGTTTGCTTGTGTGGTGTGTAAGCACTGTCCTGTGTTTGACACTGTTGCAATGTTAAGTATTCACAGGCAAGGAAAGAAACATTTAGCCAGTAAGTTATTTTATGATCCAAATGAGCAGACATTGGCTAGAGATTCTAGTATACTGTCAGCCGCAAAATGGTCAGTTTAGGATCTTTGTGAAAAGCCATATTTTGTACCTTCGCTTAATTCTTTTTATAATCACTGCAATTACTGACATAAAAATATATATTTTGAAAGATAATGGAAGGCCACATATAGGTCACTTTTGCAGTCATATATGAGATGAATTTACAGCGTACCTATCCCTACACAAAGATTCCTGCCAAAGAAAATAATGATACCCTTCCCCCCTCCCCCCCCCTTCACGAAGCTTGCTTTTATCATGGCTTGCACGATAGTATATGTGGCATGATTGTTGACCGCTCATTTATAAACTTCGTTATCTATCTGTTGCTTTGTTATGCAATATTTAAAAATTATTCCTCTAGCCCAAATGGCCTCTGAGTCAATAGCCCATTCGGCCTTTGGCCTCATGGGCTATTGACTCAGAGCCCATTTGGGCTAGAGGAATAATTGTTTTAGTAAAATCCAACTAGTTGGTCAAAAATACCGAGACAAAACAACTGTACAGTCATGTAGCTAGTAAAACGCGATTCAACCACCATTGTTTTGGTTTTCAAAGCTAGCGCTTTTCGCTACAAGTGGGCTATAACATGTAACCTAGTAGTAGCTCAACCAATCAGAATGCAGCATTGATAATAGACTACTAGTTGGATTTTACTAAATTGTGGTATTCACTGTAATGTGGTCAAGCCTTCTTCTAAGTTCACTGCTTTGAGAGATAGCATCACTTGTGTCGTGCATGTCTGTACCGCCTCCTTTGACCTAAGTGACTTATTGTTAAGAAGTGACTAAGAAAGACCTCTGCAAGGCAAAATTGAGATTCTTTGGGACGGTATTAGTATGAATAAAAATATTTTTCTCGCTTTGTTGTAGAAACAATTTTCTTTCGCATAAAATTGCGGTGTAACGGCATTTTTGAGGGAAATATTCTTTCCAGGGGTACCCAACCAAGTTAAAAAAAATACGGAAATTCCAGTGGGTTGGGGGATCTGAAACAAAAGTGCTCTCCGTGGGGGCGAGGGGGTGTATGGGTATTTTTTTCCGAACTAGACAATATTAGAATGTTTTCACTGTTATGACGCTTTTCTGCTTTATTTTCAAGTAAAGGTAAATCTTGGAAATAATGCCCCTGTAAGACTCCAGATCTAGGCCTTCTTCAAATAGTTGACTCTGGCTACGCTCACACCGCAGCGGAAGAATTTTTGACCCGTTGAAAATTCGTGCATTTAGTTGCTTCATTCAGAAGGAACCACCTTAACCGTGCGAAAATTTAGACGATTAGCCTTTCAAAGTTCTATGTAAGCAGAGCGAAAATATTGAACTGTCCCGTGTGAACGAAGTGTTCGATCCAATTTTTTAGCCGGTCGAAAACGTCCATACAATTAGGGTAGTTTTCTCTTTGTTTTTTTTTTTTTGTCAGATGCTAAGGTAAGACTAGAGAAGCTGAAGGAAGATGCTGAGTTGCGGCAAAAGAGAGAGCATTTGAAATACCTGGAGACACTAGGAACTGATTTGAGCGAAGAACAAGCCCCATTACTGAAAATCACACAACTAAAGACGGAACGTGCTTTACAAGGATCAAAACAGCTGATTGGGTGTACAAAGAACGAAACAAAACCGAACAATGTGCCTTTCTTTCAGTCACGAAAATATATCACACTTAATCTCAGTGATGTCACAACAGGAGATATAAACAGGACAGAATCAAACATCTTGACAAATCCAGGCCGAGGAAAACCAAAGCAGTCTTTCTTTCAATGTAAGCAAACTTTTAACCCACCCGTAACTAGCATAACAGCATCAGTTGGAAAATCAACTTCAAAGGATCCATCAGAGACTGGGAGCAATTCTTACTCAAACAAACCGAGCTCCAGTGAATCTGGCAAGCTTCCCAATGGTACAAGTGATGTTAAGAAAGTTCTAATTCCTAGCGAAAAAGCTAGGAGAGAGCATTTTTCTCGCCTGCGGCAAGCTGGGTGGATCATGGGCTTGGATGGAAAGTGGTACAAGGATGAGAATGCTGAATTTGATTCGGATGAAGACGAACCACCACCACTACCACCATAATTGGCGTCAGAAAATTGTTCACATTTTGCTTCATTATCTCACACATTTCATTGAAAAGCCATCATGCTAAATAAAAAAAATTGTTGACTCTAATTACTGACACAGCTTGTAAAAACTTACTAACCTGTGCAATTATTGTAACCTCTATTTTGTAATACTCAAGGGCTTATAACCGGAATAGAAAAAGCGCTTCGAAACGGCAAGCTGGCAGTGCTGTTCAAAATGTATTTTGCATTAACTGGTTTTAAAACGCCATAATAAATCGAGTTCATTTCAATACAAGCTAGAGGGCACTTGGGTTGGGGGAGGGTGTGGTGGCTTTTAATTGGATGTATTTTTTGTTTCTTTGTTTGTTTCCAGGTAGATGGGTCTATAATTGGAAGGGGGGGGGAGGGGGGGTATAAGTTGGAGGCTTGGTTGTACGATTTCGATTGGGACTGTTACTAGGGACAGGGAAAAAATGGCCAGTTGGTAACCGGCGTATTCCTAGTAACGAACCCAGAGACAATACCGGCACACGCTTCGGCTTCAGTTGATTTGTTCCCTTGTCGTTTCCTAAGGGGCGAACTGGGCCAAGTTTTTTACTTTCATAGCCGTGAAATTGGCCATTTTACTCAATAAATCCTCGCTATTGAAGTTCAATAATTTCAGGGTTGCCACTCATCAGGAAGTTAAAAATTCCTTGAATTTTCACTGACCTTTAAACAGTTTTCACTGACCTTTAAACAGTTTTCGATGTTTCCATTCGCTTGACCTTTTTTTAATCGAGGATAACAATCGATTTTCAACCATTTCAGCTTTAGGAACTTTTTGAAAGGCTATCGAGGAAAACCACTGGCCACAACTACTACGTGTCAGGCGTAAAGTGTCAAATTGATCGCTTTGCTTGCTTTGCAGCATACTTTTCATCTTTTCCAAAAGAAATGTCTTTCAAAATCTTGAAGAAAACTTATGAACTCTAAACCGGAAAACAGAATTCCCTGACTTTTCACTGACTTTGACAATATCAAAGATTTTCCCTAACTTTTTAAAAGATTCCCTGACTTTTCCTGAACTTGAAAATTTTCGTTTTCCCTGACTTTTCCCTGACCGTGGCAACCCTGAATTTTATGGTGGCAGAAAAGACGAAAGATTGCGGCCTTTCGTAAAATTAACCTACTCCTGTTTTAAACTAATAAGGTAATTTAAAACAGGGTTGGGTCGTTGCAAAAATAGCAACTTCAAACCAAAAATATCATAAATACTACACATAGGTGCATGTTAATATGATTGAGTTTACTGAGTGACTTATTTCATAAAACACTGCTTATTTATAAAAAAAAAGAATTTCTTGCTTTGTCTAGTACAGTAATATTTACATTAAAGGAGGTAAATGGACAGTATTGACTACCGGGATCTCTTAAAATAGTGTGATTTGAATGACGATATGTAATGAAACAACTTTAAACATCGTACTTTTACGCCGTCTTAAACGAATAACACTGTTATGCTCCATTACAGGGGAAATATAATTTACACGATTTTTCAATGAACCTATATGATACAGTTTATCCTTTCATTTAAAAATTATTCAAAACAGCTCCATTCTGATCACGGTTTCCATGTAATGACTTGAACAGCAATCTGCGCTGCTTTCCTGACAGCTGGGCTGTCACGGTCGTGAATAAGCTTGGATAGCTGAAACACAAATTGAAGACATCATAACCTCAATGGATGCTATATATTTAGGTGGTTACCGCTATCAAGGCGGAGCAGCATTCATAAGTTTGTAACAATGACCGTTTTTATGCTAGAGACGTCAAAGTGTGACGTGTAACTTCTGACGCCATTAAAGTCTTCTTTTAAGTGCGTCGTTCAGGCGCACTTAACTGACGACTTTAATTAACGCCTCAGAAGATAAATGCGTCTAGTATAAAAACGGGACGCCTTAAATAGGGACGCACTTATGCCCCAACTTTTCCACAAACGACTGGGAAGAGTCACTGTTTTGTCTTTTGTTCAATATCTCTGTTTTTTCCACTCCTTTCATCAACTTTTATGCGTCCCTTTTTAACACCAGTCGACTTTAACCTTAGCATAAAACGGCCAATAGCACGTAGTTCCGCAATGAAAACAACAATCGCATAAACGGGCCGTAAGGCGCGGCTTAACTACCTCTAAAGATACTTCGACAAGCCACCTTGAAGCACAGAAGTTAAGGCGCCGTTTTCCGAAGCAAAGATCCTCGGTTCTAGATGGAGACGAAACGATTACTTTTGTTTCTTTTGTGACTGTCATACCACCATACCGGAAATTAAAAAAAAACAACAACAACCAAACCAAACCAAACCAAACCAAAAGAGATTTGTGGGTGAAAAACAATTATAATACTTTCAACGCCTCCATTTCTCAACGATTTTGAACACAACAGATGCATTTCCCTCCCAGAGCATGATGCAAGGCCGAGTTAAGGCCGATAGGGAAATCATGAAAGTTACCATTACGCCTGCTGTTTAAGGAAAACAGGCGCGGCAGAATTCTTTAAGTTGTTGGCCTAAACTTAGTTAGTTGAGCACTAGTATTTTTAAATCTGCGCGTACTAAGTATAGGGATTTCTATGTGGTTCCATGCCATAATACTGAGTCCACTCCATTACCTCGTGAACTGAAGCCAGTAACGTCGTTCTCCCTATTGGAGCTTCTGAAAGTGTTGTTATTGCCTAAATAGGAAGAACAAAAAAAAGTCTTGTTTCAACATCAGGCACCTATATACCTCCCTATAAACAAAGATCTTAGAGTATGCCTTTCGCGTTCGTCAAAACTAAACAGATTGCCCGAACCCTGTTCCTTGATCCCCATAGCACAGGCTGCTGATAAGAAGAAAATATGAGTTTCCAGGAAGAAGACGGGTGACACCAGGCGTTTCGCATGACTAACGATCACCCCATCCAGTCAGATGAGTTACAAAGAGCGAAACTACATGTCTGGAGGTGTACAATGTAAGTTTCGCTCATGTTCCCAAAAGCAAATCGTTTATCTCATGTAATTATGTAATTCGCTGATTATGCACTTAGGAACTGAAATCATACCGGTAGCTTGTTTCCTATAGGCCCGACAGTATACTATTCCATTTTCAGTACTGAGCGAAACGAGCCGCGCAAGAACGCCCCAAAATGGAGAACTTTCCCGCAGGCTTAAACCCTATACAGAAATCCGTACAAAAACGTTTTATTAGTGTTGATAAAAATGGCCGTATTTCAAAGAAATTATAGGATAGTCAAGGAGTCCAGAATGGAAGCTCTTTATTTTTATCCAAAGGACTAAACAAGCAAATCCTCGCCTCATACTAAGTTCCCACTGGCCTGCTTAGCAAGCGGTTCATTCCTCTTTTTTGCTCTCGTTCCACCTTTCTAGACGAACTCGCGCGGTAACGCTTTCTACGCAGGCTAGGTTCTTCCCTTGATTTCTACGTACCTTAAGTGCGTTAAGTCGGACTTCACTTTCGGGATCTTCCAAAAGATTCACCAGATTTGGAATTGCATCTGCTTCAATTGCAGCATACTTTCCTTTGGTCGTAATTGTGATCCTGAGCAAGTCAAAAATCATTTAATTGTCATGACACATTCTTAAAAATGAACGAAATATAGCCAGGCTAAACGAAATATTCCTGGCAAGGACGCAGCAAGAGCAGGAAGTGAGACTACAAGAGCATAAACCGCTAAAACACGTCGTTTGCACGCCATTTTTCTTCTTATTGTTATTTTTGTTTTGTTTTATGTGGTTACCAACCATTAAGTAATCACGAAAAAGTGTACCCCGGGATACCTGGGGTCCCCCAACGCCATGCAAACAGGCCCAAAAGCCCCCTAATATCCGGAGCGAAAACTGTTGACACCTCAGTTAGACTTACGTCATGATTGCACCAGCGGCCTGGGCTCTTACATCAGTATTATCATCTTTTAGCAGTAATACCAGCTCAGGTATGGCTCCCACATCTACCGCCTTGTCTTTACCGTCTAATGGAAAACTGCAACAAAAAAAGTAATGGCGTAATACACCAGTCCAACGTATAGGACGAATCTTCAGGATGTAAGCTCAAATGGCTAAAACAGGATTCATATTCGGAGTTGTGCATGTATCTCGTGACAAAAAAGATTTACTGTTCCGGCGACAAGAAAGTGGAAATCACGAGACATGCATGTACAGGTATATCTCTACTTTCCGTGCATATTTGCCAAAATTAACAGGAAAATACCTGTACCACTGAGTTGTCAATAAACCAAACTCACATACATGTATACTCTCCATTTTTGCACCTCGTTTTTAAAATAATCACAAAATTAATGTTCAGAATTCGAATGGAAATCTGTGGCTCTTTCCGCTTCATATGAAATTTACAGTGTATCAGCTCCGCAGAGATTGTTTTATTTAGACAAGCAATTGGTAAGCGCTATTTTACGATTTATACAAAATGTATTTAAAATTCATGGACATTTGTTTCACATGGCGAGCTTGTATACACATGCAAATATATGTAGGGGTTAGGTTAAAAGAAACATCACGGTATTAACGGAAAACATAAAACACAAAATTTTGTGCTAACTAAATTGCTTTAAAAGGTCCATTTTCGTTTTTTTCCCAAGCCCTAGCCCATTTTTGAAGCAAAAAAGGAAAATGTGATCCTCGTCGAAGAAGTGCTAGCGTTTGAAACACCAGCTTTTCAGTCTTTTCAGTAACAGTGGCAAATTGACTTTATCAAATCTGTTGATAAAACCCTATTTTTACTATATTTGTGTGTGTGCATAATTAGTCTCCGTGGCAAAGTTGCAGAAATTTGAAGGACAAGGTAGGGGGAACAGCTGCGGGACTAGCTGCGACACACTGAATGTTTGTTCCTCCCTGCCTTGTCGCTTCAAATGTCTACCACGCCTAAAGCAACAGAAGTTTCCTTTTACTGTACGGCGAAACACTAGTGAATAAGTCCCAATGCGGAAATAGCCCGTTTGGGAAGATAAAATAATCGGCCTGACTGGTGCATGAAAAAATATAATGCAGTTTTATGCCCTTTACAGTCATGGCTCCCTGCTAGAGCTGTACCTTAGATCCATGATATCTCTAGCAGCTTTTGCTCTGATTGTCTCCGACTTGTGCGACAGCAATTTTGTAAAACTTTCCATGGCTTCACTTTCCAGTGCCGATTGTGTCTCTATCGTCATACAGTAATGAAGGGTATCTAAGATCAGCTCCTGCAGTGCAAAAAGATTAATGTTACTCAAAAAGTTACAGCACCATGATAGCATTAATTTCACCCCTTACATCACTAAGGGCCTCGACTATGGAGAAAAGTTGTCCCGGGTAAAAGGGACCACGTGGTCAAGGCAGTCTCTCTTTTTCTTCAGATTTAGTGAGAGAAGTGCAAACGCGCGCGAGCGGCGAAGCCGCGAGCCGCGCGAAACGAGGGCGGCAGCCGGAGAAGAAAAGAGCGTGCCTCTCCCGTCTCGCGCCTTCAGTCAAACGCGTGGTCATTTGCGTGTCTCGCGCGTGTTGCTCGACGGACTAAGAAAAAAGAGAGGCTACTCGTAGTCTAGGATTACAGGGGCGCTAACTAGTTACCCCTCTAAGGGGCAACCGCACACTGACAGACAGGACACACGATACCGCATGTAGAGTACTGCTGCCCACTGCTTCTAGGAAGAAAAAAGATAGCATCGAACGTACTAATCACTATGCGATCAAGTCGTTACTGAATCCGGGAAATTCGGCAACTTACAGTTATGACTTTTGCCTGGCAATGGCTGCTATGGAAACGCTTGAGAAAAGAGGTACAGTGTATCGAGCAATCGCTAATTCTATTTTTGAAGAGTTTCAAACTGGATGGTCCAAATTATATCTCTAAGTTTGTTTACACCTCGAATATTAAACTAAATACAATTTACGAGGCAGCTGGTGGCTTAAATGTTGTGCAGCCTCGATATAATAGTGAGCCTTATCATGTACAACTCCTTTTCGCAAATGATTGCCCACATGTGGAAGCAGTTACCGCCTACATTGTAAATAACCAAATCCTCGACCACTTTGGTACAATTATTTCGTGCTCATCTGATTGACGTTAGGTTCGATTCACAGGGTACCAGTACATGAACTGCACATAATTTTACCTGTTTACATATTTTTACATACTCTTGGGATCAGTTTATATTTTCAATATTATTATTTTTGATAAGCTGATATTTGTGAATAGCCTTTTTCAACTCAAGAAGATGATCTATCTTTTTAGTTATACTTTTATCTTTTAAATGTTGATGCTAATTATAGACATTTACAGACCTTGCATCTCGGTTTTTAATATGTCTCAATTTTTTTTTTGAAAATGATGATGTACTTAATTTTATAGTTGAACTTTTTTTTAGATTTTTTACGTACGATTCGTATGTTATTTTGTTGCATTGTCAAGCGTTTTTAACATGAGCCTCTACTGGCTCGGAAGATTGAGCAGTCACTTCCTGCAAGTACGTTTTTGACATTAAATAAATTATCCATCCTATCCAATTGCCTTTCAAAATGATCTTAATGAACGAGAAAAATTTGGTTGCAAGAACAAAAAGTTCAAATTGCATTTTCTAGCTGAAAAAGTGAAATACACAGAAAACCCCAAGTCTGAGGGGGGGGCCTCAGGATTTTCCTGATACATTAAACAATAAATCTACCTTTATTTCATCCTCCTCCTTTAAGAGTTTTCCAACCAACACTGGGACGAGTTTAGCATCCACAACGCCCTCCGTACCAGGACTCATGTGGACACACATTTCTATTGCTTTGTGTGCATTCCTTCTTGCCTGATATACATTGTCATCAAACTACATTTTGTAAAATGAAAAGAAGTTTTTAGAGACTAAACAACAACAAAAAAACAAACATGTAAACATGATGCATTGCATAATTCATGACAAAAGGGCAAATTTGTTTCCCTACTGAGGCTTTTTGATCTTCTTGGTAGAGTAAAAATTCTGTGGCCCATTTTCACATTCAGGTACAATTGTCATGGCTCAATTTTAAGACCCTTGTTTCAATTCTATTTTTCTTTGTTTCAAAAAAATAAAGAAATAACAATAATAATAATAATAATAATAATAACAAGCCACAAGTACAGCTACCTTGTAGAAAAAGACCCTAAATTCACTGACTGATGATAATTAAGATCCACTCTCCTGAGTCCTTGATTCCTAAACAAACAACTTGGGGAATCTGGACAGATCAGAATCTCAAAAATACTAACTTTACAAGTCTCACACGGCTATTTTTCAGGCACTTAACACGTTAAATTTAAACGATAACTCTAACAAACAACTTTTGAGGGGAAAGACATCTTAAAATAAGTTCTCCCATCCTCTCAACTGTTTAAAATAAAATGTATTTAACATAAATCTTACCAGTTCTGATAATGGTACAATCATTTTGTGGTCTAGAAATGCATCTCTGCCTACTGCATGACCTATAGTTTTGAGAGAGAAACGTTATGGTGTGTGACACTGTGTAATGGATAAACATGTAGTTCTCATATCATACACTAGAATAAAATGGCTCTCTGCTATTCAATAAGTCCAGTGAAAGTAGCTTCTCTGTTCAACAGATGTTTGTGGAGGATGCATGGAATGCACAACAAAGCCCTATTAAAGAATGACTGTCTACTTGGGAGGCCTATAACATCGGACTCAAGCTTAATTGTTTTGAATTAGGTGAGCAATTGAATTAAGTAGCTGAGCATTAACACATTCTTGCTAATAGCAAGAGAAAATCTCCAGCCCCCACTTTCATCCCTTACATGTATTTTATATGGTATAACCACCTGCAATGATACTGAGGACTTCAGTTGCCTTGTGCCTAACTGTAGCATCAGGGTCTTTGAGTAGCGACTTTAAGCTTGCACTAACACCTACAGTACAAATATGGTATATTTAGGAAACAATTTAGTTTTTATATACTATGAAGTATTATTGCACAATTTAGTCGTGCATGTTATCACTGCTCTCGCAAAAGTATCTGTGCCTTCACTCTTCTTGAATTGAAAATCGCAAGATCTCAAAGCCTTAAACTGTCACAACATTAGTAGTGCCACCTTTTTCACCACAGGATTTTAATAATGATTCTGGTCAGTCGCCTAGTGAAAATATCAGGGAAGAGATACATTGTATTTCTTCTTATTCAAATAAGACAGACTTTTGACATTCATTTGGGGTCAGTTGTAAAATTAATGTAAAAATTAATAACTGATACTGCTCTCACCAACTCGTAGTCCTTCAGATATATGTTCTGGATTGTGCATGACATCACAAAGGGACATCAGAGCCCGTTGACGTGTTAAAAGGTCTGAGCTGTTTAGCTCACGATTCTACATTAAGAATGAACCAAATAGAGTGAAAATGAAATAATTTCATTTTAATAACTATCATTTAAGCATTATAACTTTATAAAAGTCACTTCTTAAGCCTGACACTTCAAATACAAACAAGAGCATCTGATTGATCTTGTGCAGGTTTCTCCACACAGGCATGCTTGCATCCGTGTGACAGGGATTACCATGTCCAGTTATAGAGGTAACTGCACCTATATGACAATGAAACTGTACAATTGCCAGTCACCAGGAGCACTTAATCACTGTATCCACAATTTGTGTGCCAGGTTTACAAGGATGCATTTCATGAGAATCATGCTAAATCATTAATTTTAGGCAGCCCGTTTTGGTCAACCATTATTATTTGGCAAATCTTCAGCGATTGATTTCAAATAGGGATTACAGAGATATGCGCCTTTTGGTAGAGATAACTTATATATTTTTTAGGTGAAATCAATGTTTTATGCGCGAACCTCCCAAGTGTAATTATAGCAAAATAACAAATATATAATTATACGATACAATTTAAAGTTAAACTTAAGTTATCAAAGCACTATTATTTTGACAACTAAAGCTTAACTTTCGCAAATTAGAGACGTCTTGTTTGAAAATTTCGACCACCAGTGTGCTCAAATTGTAACTCTCATATAAGAGGTAAAAGGGATTGACTCTGTTCGATAAACTGATAACATCCAGCTGAGTCTAGAGTGACAAATTAATTTCGAACCTTTGATCGAAGATATTTCGAAATGCAGATAATCATACTCACTAATTTAGGAAGTGCCCGGTCTCCATACGCAAGCCTGGCTTTGGTTGGATCTATATTTGGAGGAAGCTTGACTGAAATGACGGTATGAGCCATAACTACTGAGCAAAATTTTGCTGTACTGCTCTCTGCAAGTTCCAAAAACAAAAATGGCGGTCTGTTGTTGCTACGTAACCACTGAGCTCATACCCAGGGCCGCGCGTAAACTCTAATGTTGTAGGTCCGTACAGCATGCAAAACACAAACCTCACTGTACTGAGAAATGTACTATAGAAAGTGCCCAATTCCTCCAGTTTAATTTCGGCTTTGTTACTTTTTTCAAAAAAATATACGCACTGACCAAGAGAGAATGAGATCATTCTCTCTTACACTGACTTATGTCCCATTCACTTTTCCTTTTTTTTTTTTTTTTTTCATACAAGCTTCTTACTAACTTCTGGCTGTTGTCAACCATGTGCAAATAACAGACAATGTTAAAGATTATGTTAATCTTGTTGGTTTCAGTTTTCCTTTTTTTTTTCTCATTTTTGGGGGGACCTGGTTTGATTAAACATATTTACTAGGGGCAATCATAGATTAAAGAGTGCATTCGATATGCGAAGTGAGTTATTTCCAGGCAGACAATAGATTTTTACAGGCTTCTGTGAGTTAGTGTCCAGGGAGAAAAAAAGGTGATGATGATGGCAATGATTAACATTTTGTTAAAAAACAATTTTATTGTAGAAAGGTTGCATAATTATATTGCGCATCAGTTAACAACAAAATGAAATAAGTTGTTAGTTGACCCAAGTGTTAGTTTCTTCAGCTGCAGGATTTAGATTTATTGGCAATAATCGGATAATTTCATTTGTACTAATAAAATATAAGAAGATTTTTAGTCATGCGGCGACGAAAAAAAAAAGTCCGACAGAAAAGCGTGCATCGTGCGTGTGCAGAGTAATGTTTTGCTTGCTCAAAACTTGCTTGAATTTGTTTGACTTTGCTTAAGCTCTCTAATGAAATCAATCGGAGGGATATAAGCTTCCTTTTTGGAGTTTCTAAATCATTACTTAAAAAAAATAAAGTGCAGTGCTACCGGGAAAGCCTCGAGCAATAATTGTTTAACTTGAACGCTGCATGCGGTTTTTATGTGACTCAAAGTTGAAAGATCCACACTACAATCCATGAAACTAAATTTGTTAAAATAACTAAACGAAAGTCGAAGGAACATTTCTTGTACGCCGTGTACACCAAAAATTTGCTCAATTAAAGCACTTAATCGCATATGCCTGAATTCGAAATACATCCAAGTAATTTAAGGCGCCATAAAAAAAAACAAACAAACAAACAGACAGACAAACAAAAGTAACAGAACAAAATTCACCTATGTTCGCATTAAAACTTGATTTTCTCGCCTTCGCTAGCAACAGGAAAACCTTGAATCGAGCTTAAAAGACAAACAGGTCAAGAAAGGTTCTGAAAGTTTTCATTGTGTGTTACAAGTCACGTGGACCAACTGTCATCTCGTATTGGTCGAAAAGTGAGTCATGTAGTGTTTTGAATCATTTGTACCCAGGAAAGCTACGTTCTTTCAAGAGGCCAGGCTATTTGGAAGTCCGTCCCGAAAAATCTCGATTTTTTCTGGCTACTAATTTAGGATGGCGTTCTGCGAACGCAACAACTGGTTTAATTGGTGTAAATGGGGCATTACATACACGGCTACCATGCAGTCCTATCCCGAAAACCCCTGCCTTCGTGAGAGGCAATGACTTACACGGTTGCCGTCATTTGTGGCTAATACATTCATTCAATTTGTTGGGATAAGATTTCGTAATCTCAGTATAACCCCCACTTTCTGACTACTGTTTTTACAGACGATACTGATATGATCTGAAAAAGATAATTCGTTGTCAATATAGTAACACCTTACACCCAACAGTGTAATAGTATTTTCCGCCGTTCAATGCTAAAGTGCTTAACGTTGATACTTATCTGTCTTTTGTCCGTTCTACTAATTATCATATACTGGTCTACTTTTTATAAACCGATGAGCACGAAGCTGCGCCAGCAACAGGGGATGCTGTAAACAGTCGAAAGCCTTACTCCTGTCAGTTGATGTACCCCTGGTCACTTGGGCCGATAGAATTTTTTCAAATACTTTAACGTGATCTGAATAATTACTGGTCGGGTCGATAATTCTCCTCCTATTTCTTGGTTTGCCCCGATGTCAGTTGAAAATCATGTAGTGTGAATCATGGGTATGGGTAGATTTCGGCAGAGCAAGGGATTTTCCAGTCTTGCCCTCGAGCTCGGTTGTAAACCCATGCAAGATTATTAAGAAGCTATTTAACAGGAGCTTCGCTTTTAGGCTTTAAATTTATATACTGTAAACCTTTCTGATAGCGTAGATTCGATCGCCTTATCCTGACGTGTACAAATCTGCAAGAAAAAGAGGGCTGAGTGGAGCGAAAGAAGAGAAATTTTAGAAACCGATAACGATGCACAATTATGGAACGTGATCTTTATTTTGCACTGCTGCTCTATAAAAACATCTTTGAAGAGCAATCTTGGTCTAACAAGAAGGCTCTATTATCTTCACTGAGCCTTTAATGTGAGACTTAAAGTCGGGCCACTGGAACAAGTTCCCCACTCCAGTTAGACATGACTTGGACATGCGCTTGATTTCTTGCTCTTTTATGACGTGATCCCAGATATTAACATCTGTTAGCTCTCCAATGAAAGACTGACTGGCTTCAAAACGTCCTCCAACTGAGTCTTGCTCTTGACCTAGAACCAATGCTCCTCCGGGACGAATCATGTTACCTTTGAAAATTACAGGAGAATTGAGAGATACCTTAACATCGTTATCATCCTTCCCTTTAACTGGCATGCTACAAGAAATTGTTGCATGAATATTGTTATCCTAGGCCTTTCAAATGCAGTGGGTGAAACTGAGACAAGCAATAAGAAATGTTTCACACAGCAAAAGGACAACCTCGCTCAGGTGAAAATTGACATTTGAACTAATTACCTGTATACGGCATGTGGTCTAAATCGGACATCAAAGTTAAAAAAAAACCTTAGTTATACTTGTCAGTATCATGTTAATATTTGAAATTTAGAATTATAACTATAGGCTAAAGCTGATTGAAAATTAATAAACTGAATTGTGAATCAAATCCGAATTAAGACTTCGATCAGTCTTTTCTCATTTATCATCATTCTTTAAAAACTTGAATTTGTCAAACTATTAATGATGGTTATAGAAATGATATAGAGGGATATTTAATCGGGTGTAGGTCCTTTTATGTTTCTAAGTCACCTGTTTCTAGCCCTCTACCACTGGCTTCGACTTTACCGTCTTTATACAGCCTCCAGGATCCAGCGGTATTCTCCCATGTAACACAGATATGATGCCATTTTTCATCGTTTGCCGATACAGAAGTTCTCCTAAAAACGTAATAGCATGCTTCATGAATAAGTTTTTAAAAACATATCACATCTACCAAATAATTCAATGCCTATCTCTGTTCTTATTTCAGCTTCTTCAGCTTGCATTGTGTATACCTTACATTAATTTGTGAATTGCACTGCGTCCATAAATGGACGGTCTGAAAAACTCCGCTACAAGGGCTGCAGTGTAGTCAGACACCGTCATAAGTTTCGGTTTGCACCGTTATTATCATCAAAAGCATAGCTATACGATCTCTTACATATGGTAGACGGATTTTCTCCGTACTGGTAAAATACTTTATCGGTTTTTTCCCTATTTTAACTTCTTTCCTCGACTACGTGATTATAGTCCGTCTTAACGCTTTCTCAAAAATGTTTCTACCAGCCAGAGTTTCTCACATAGATCACAAACTTTCGGTAATCGTAAAGAACAAGTTCTTCGTCGACTTGAGGTACGGCATAGTGCAGAGGTGTTCCCCAATTCCCTGTATCAGAGGTCTTCATCCACAGACATGCTGTAACTCCTTTAAGGCTTGGCATTCCTCGCCTTATATGATGGCATAATCACTGGTCCCTTTTCGCGGAAAATGCAAAGCGTACTTGTTTGCTGTTAAGAGATATGAAGGAATTTTAAAAGTAGAATTTTTCGTGCTGTACCGAATTTATTAGTTTCAATGCATTGGTCAATTGCAATTGTCGAAAATTTTATATATATATATATGCAAGAGAATAATAAAAGCTGATCGAGTCATGAAGTGAAAGAGGTAAAAACATTTTAACACTTTGAAGGAGAAACGAACTTTACTTTTCGGTTCAATTTGTTTAACTTTCGAAAAAAACAATAAAAGATGATCTTTTTTAGTGAATTTTAAAGTACTGGATCACGTGAAAGTACGAAGACAAAAGTACCATGTCTTTCGAAAGACGATAATCTCTGAGAGATTTACATCAACTTCACAAGTAGTTCAGAATTTGACTTCTTCATTTTTCTGTTGCTTTCTTTCAGAGCCGCAACCGTTTCGGACAAATAAATGATTGTTTGGTTCATTCCATCCTGTTGCCTTCTAATCTCGGCACTGGAGGAGTTTCGATTATCATCGAAGCCCTTGAGTTTCTTCAAGATCGATTGATCTTTCTTCTCCATTGTTCTGAACAAAGATTGTACGCTTTGGTTCATCACTCTCAGGTTTCTTTCAATCTTCTCCATGGATTTCACCCGCTTCTCCAAAGCATGTAGTTTGGTCAAAACCTTCATATTTCCTTTGTTCATTGACTCTCCTTTCGCTGTGCCCTTGTCAACGAGATTAATTTTCGCCTCTCGCGCAGTAGACACAACAACTTCATTATGATCTCCCGTAATGAAAACGTTCCCATCAGGACCTGTTACGTTGGTTTTAGTGGACAATACGGTTTTGAAAACAAAAGCAAAACAAAGATAGAAGCGAATAAACTTTGAAGGCCGCATGTCGGCGGAATGATTCAAAAGTTTGAAAAAAGAAAGATGCCTCAGTTCTAAATTTTTTTGAAAAAAAAAAATGTGTTGTGAGCTTAACAAGCATTTTTTCCCGAAATGAATACCAATTACGTAAAGGCCAGTAGCTGGGAAGTCGAGGTACAAGTGATAACCATTTGACTATTTTTGAGCTAAACTATGGCTTTCCAACTCCGCTGGTCACTTAACAAGGCAGAATTAGCCTCGCACGAGGGCTATAGCTATCTCTACTAGAAGGGTTTGCGAAAGGAAGGGCTGCTTGTTTTTTATGTGTAACACAAGCTGCACTCCATAATTATGCGTAGACAATTCTTCAACAATAAAATTAACTTTTAATATCTATTTACAGTCTTGACATTTTGTCACTGTACTGTTTGATGTCTGTTAAAAATTCACGACTGTCTGATATTATTTGCATCAGAAATTGCCCGCCCTGAGGATACGATCGATATATAAATTAAATTGATTGTTGAACTCTCGACAGCAAGTTACTGATATTGTGCAATTTCATCAGATGATTTATACTTACTTAAACTCTAGCGAGGCTATGTGAAAATGAAAAGTGTTACGGAGCAGTTGACCTAAAACAACAAAAAAGCAACTTTCTGTCTTGAAGAAATAGAGCTTAACCACAAGCGAATTGAGGAAAGAGCTCCAAATGACTGCCCTTTGTTAGCCTCGTTAAGCACCGATGATCAAAGTTATGGCGCATCTGTTTGTGACCTTTTATCTTCCCCAATGAGAATGATGAAAAGAGTATATTTAAAAAGCAACTTCAAAATGATACAGTCACACTGACGTCATTTGCATTACTCTGTGCCATTGTTATCATTTTTGATTTTCTATCATATCTGTCTTGTTTGTTTTTTGTTTGTTCGTACAATTCTTCATCCCCCCGGGAAAAGTGGACCACTATCATACCCACTTCTGCTTGACAGATAGATAGATTTAGGTATATGATTTATTTAACCTGCTCAATTCAACATACCATGATACAGATAAAATTTACATGGACAATTAATACAATTTAAATAAGGAATAAAATAATAACTTCAAGTAGAGAGCGAGTTGAGATCATCCAAATAGCAAAGGCTAATCTAAAGGATGACCCCAATAGAATACAATTACACACAAAATTTACCATACCTTATTTTTATGAAAAGTATTTCTTCTAGAGCTAAGGCAGACAATTAATTAATATAACAATTAAGAACAGAATTCTTCAGAGCTTTACGAAACAGTCTAAGAGAATCTGATTTAGTAATACTTAGGGGGGCAAGGCATTCCAAAGCCGGAGAACCAGTGAATTTTAGGCATGTATAACGGCAATTTTTTTTTCTTTCGTCTCTTCATATTGATTGTTTTATGCCGTTCATTTTCCTTTACATACTTTAAAATGTTGCCAGAGTCTTGCTCTGGGTGACCTCTCTGAGATGGTGGGATACAAAACAATGACCGACCCATTAGATGTGATTATAATTCCTCGGCACTCTCGGCTTGAAGAATATTAAATAGAGAATCTCCCATTGTAACAGATCCGTTCAATTTGCTGATTCATCTTGAAGTAGGGACATGTACTATCAGTTTAAACAGATGAGTAAGTTAAATCCTTTCTATTTTTACTCCCACCGAATCAGGGTGTAAATTTACTGACTTTTTGCCCTTCAAGCTTTTAAAGTTATACCAGTTTAATTGGTATTTACAAACCGCGACACAGTCTGTCGATTTCGCCACCAGCTGGCAGGCTGGGAGAGTGGCTATCACTGGCTTGCCTGCAGGGTCCTGCAGCTACAAAAGAAATATTCCCTAGATAACAACTGCATGATAGGATTTTTCAAGTTCATTGTACAGTTTAATATATTGCAGATAAGAAAATAAAGTTCTGATGGCGCTGGCAGGAGCGGGGTATGGTTTACAAGTGCAAGGTTGAATGTTCAATGTTTTCATAACCAGCAGAATATACCCAACGCTGGACGAAAAAAAAAAGATACTCACTATGTACCAGTCAAAGAACAGGCACTGCTGATTATTTATTTGTGTCCCGTTACTCAACCGAAGAAACTTAACAAATGCGTTATTAGTTTCGTCCTCTAAATTCTCGTTCTGTTTTTTAAAAATGAAATTTTTTCTTCTAAACTCAGTGTTGATGCGATCTGTAATGACTGATCTGTGAGGTTAGAATCAAGAGAACTGAAGAGAAAGCTTTGGAGACTTCATGTATTCTCCAATACATTATCGAGTACTACTTAAAATCAAATTTACAATTAATTAATAGAGTATGTGTTTGGTTTACAAAATTATTATAAAGGAAAATGCTTAAAACAACTGCAGGGGGCGTTCGCTTAATAGCTGATAAATACAGCTATGAGGAATTCAACTCTGATTAAAGATTTAAAAATATTGTGTCGACGAAACAGAGCTTGAATTCAAACAAAAGGACAAAGAAACAGCTTTCAAAATACCCTTCAGACCATTGCTCCAAGCTTGCCTCGTTAAGCACTAATGAGTTAAAATATTCATCTTTAATCCAAGTGACGGCACGCCTTGTAACATGTTGTTTCCATTATAATTCCACTTTATTTCTTAAATATCTTCATGGCTGGCTGGTGCAAGGAAGTAAAGCATCAGCGCCCATATCCCTCTTCAAAAGCTGCTTCAACGGTAAAGGAAATTTCTCCAATTTCCAATAACCCGTGAAGGAAGACCGGTTTAGATCAGTAATGGTTGAAAAAGGGGGGCACATGGACTAAAAGACAAAAGAAAATAGAGTCCTCACTCTTGCTTGTTGGCAGGCCGGCCATCAAAGCACAATTTATCCCTTTGACTGCCTTCCCAAAACGACAGTGAATTCACTCTGGGGCACCCAACGTCAATTTTCGGAAAATATCTGTCCGGAAGACGATTTGAGATCTAGAATTTTCGGAACTTTTGTTGTAAAATTTCTTGTTTGCCTGCCTCTCCTAATTTTCGAACATGTAAAAAAATGGTATAATTGCCTATTTTCAACGGATTTTTACCGTAAAAAGGTCACCTATAATTTTCGGGAGCCTTTTTTCTAGCTGAAATTTTCGAAAAGGTAAGTTTTGATCTCTATAATTTTCGGATCACTAGACTTTCAGCTAGGAAATCCGAACAGATGGAAAATTTTCAGGGGATAAAAATATGCCTATATCTACCGTTTAAATATTAAAATACGTTCAACAATGCTATGTTTAAGTGGTTTTGAACTATATTCTCGATGGATGCCCCTGTTCACTCCTTAATGAACTACTGGCAAAAAGCATTTAATGCAGAACAAAGATAGAAAGAACGACAACCGGAAAGTCCTCGTTGCAATAATTATTATTATCGTTATTTTCTTTATTGATTACTAGTTTTGCAGTTATCAGTAACGGAAGACAGTGCATGCGTACAAAACCTGAGCTGTTGGAGGTTTAAGTTATGTAATGACACTAGTTTTTATGACTCCCTCAAAGCTTTATGAAAATGGCGAGGCTGAGGAATTCAACTGAACAATAACAAAAACTTTTTTTGCCTCAAGGAAACAAAGCTTAACCACGGGCGACTGAAGAAACATGCTCACCACTGCTCTTTCTAAGTATTTAGTTAAAGTAACTTTTTGGCGCTTCAAGCACTGATAATCAAAGTAATGGTGCGTCCGTAATTCAGTCTTTTATTCTTTCGCCATCGCATAGACATGCAGGTTTTTATAAAGCAACTTTAGAACGATACAGTCCCTTCTTCTCCTTATATTACTTCGATCTCATTGTTATCATTTTTAATTATTTTTGTTAAATTTTCCATCCTCCACCGGCAAAAGAAAGGTCACAGTGTTAATGATCACTTGGAGGCATTTTCATTGGCGTACATTTATAACGACACGATTATCTTCCTTTCTTATCTTTATATTAATTGTTTTAAAGCCACTGATTGGGAGTAGGGGTGATTATAATTCGCCTCGTCACACTCGGATAAAAAAGAGAATCTCTCATGTGACAGATTAGTTTGTTGAATCACCTTAAAGCCCGGAACATCTCCAAATTAGGTAAGTCCAAAAGTAGAATAAATCCACCTTCATTGATCGATTCCATCGAATCAAAGAATAAATTGGCTTCTTTTTCAATGAATATGTTGCCAAAGTACTTCAAGCCTGCGCTTTGCGTTTTTAAGTCTCGCTCGACTAAAACCTCGACTAAATCTGTTGATTATCGTCGCGAGCTTGCTTGGAGTGGCAATCACTAGCTTATACCTGTATCTACAAAACGTCCTCGATATAGCAACAGAGGATCGCCACTGAAGTTCAATGCAGAGTTTATTGTTTAAATAAGAATTGCAAAAACAAATTATCCCTGAGTAATCTTTTCATCAAAACAGAGGCGGGGTGTGGCATGCAAGTGCAATGCACGTTTGAACGTGAACAAGTCTTTGCGGTTGTAATGCACACAACTGCGCTAAACCAATGGGGAAAGAAGGAAAACCAACTGACTGTGCGCAATTATTGATTGAAAGTACATCATATTCTATACCTTACCTTGCCAACTATAACCTGATAAATTTGCCACTCCAAATTCACATTCTTGCCAAAGGAATCATGCATGGCCTAATGGTTTTAGAATAGTGGGGGTGCGGTTAATTGGAACCGACGATAGTGAAAGTAACTAAAAATTAATTAACTTTGCTCTGTTATTTTCCATTAGAAACGAAAAAAGTGGCTAAACAAATAAAGTTTCCACGATGCGTGTTGAAATATATCTGAAGTAAGGCGGCTACAAATGAATGAGAAGTCAGTAGCACATTCACTGAGATTGCCTCTACATAATTAGTGAATTGCTAGTTCTGACTCCTTCCTAACTGTTTGCACAATTTCCAAATAAATATGCTATCACTGAGTGGAATCAGATCACGCGATATCTAATTAATCTGACTTATGATACCAAGAGCTATTCTACCATAAACAGTTTTTTGGTCTGTTTCATTATCGTGAGCCTTGCCTGAGAAAACCTCTGTTTACTTCTTGAAAGCGCTGAAGGGGAAACATCCGTCTCGCTTCACAAAACATACCAGTTGAAAATGCCCGGTACACCAAATTATTTCTCTCCGTTTACTTGTCTTCGATGTTTGGTCTGGAATTTGCTGAAATTCTTTTTTTTAGTTTAAGTTAACTGGCGTGTCAGCGTGTTTACAGCCTTTTATTTTGTCGATGACGATCGATATTATAAGTAAACAGAATCAACTGTCCATGAACTCTTATTAAAAATGATAGTCATCGGCGCCCCTGAATCGACTTCTACCTTTTATTTTACTTTTCATTCCTCAATATTTCCTTTGTTGTTTTCGTCAAACACTCTATCCCCGTTAACCTGTAGGTGTAAGATTAGTGGCCAGCTAGTTTTGGTGGAGTAAGCCTTCAATCAGCTATAAACGAAGTTTCTCGTACTTCTAATGTTCAGTTCACAAGTAAGAAATAGCATTTCAGCTTAGCAAAGATTCAAAAGGAATGATTTCAACAGATAGGAGGGCTAAGACAAGCACCCACCGATTTTAGACCTTATGCAGTGAATGCCTTATCTCCATATGGTCACACTGAAATGTCGAGAAATGACTCTTGTCTATTGAATTATTCAAAAAGATCTAAATGCATAGCTTTAGACAAGAAGCAAACAACCAGAAAGTCTTCATTTTCATTATCATTACTATCAGATCGTGAGTACTCTACTGTGACAAAAACGGTATTTGAGCTTCACCTGAAACAATAACGAACGTTCTCAAAAATACCTTGCTTCAGGCGCTTTAAATATTGATGGTCGACAATTGCGCGTCTGTTTTCCTTTCATAGCTCAGTGTGTTTTCCAAATTAGAGATGATAAAAAGAATGGATTTTCAATGCGCACTACGTTTACCCTATTCTAATGATAAAGTTTTAATTTCCTCTAACATTCCCTAGGAATAGTTGGTGACGTTGTTTGTTTGCAGTCTTTGTCAGAAGCATTTCAGTTGTACAACGGCTCAATTATCTTCCCTTCTTATCCTCAAATTAATTGTTTTCAAGCAACTGATCACGGGTAGGATTGATTAAAACTCTTTGTCACAGTCGAACAAAAAGAAAGAAACTCTCATTTTTTTGATATCAGATTAGTTTGTTCATTCACCTTGACAGGACCTGACCTTGAAGGAGGAGCATCTCCAAATCAGTCTCTAAAGGTAAGTCCACTAAATTTGAGTACACCCGCTTCGATTTTTCATTCCACAGATTCAAAAGGCATGTTGCCATACGAAATTCAGGCCCGCTTTGTGTGTTTTTAATTCCTGCCACTTTGCAATACCGTGACCATTGCCACGAGCTTACCGAGAGTGGCAATCACTAGCTTATGCCTGTAGCTACAAAATATCCTCAAGATAGCAACAGAAAGAACTGTCCAATTCATTGCAGAGTTTACAGTGTGAATAAAAAGTTGAAAAAAGAATTGATCAGAGTAAGTATTCCATCAAAACAGTGGCATGCAAGTGCAATATTCAATATGCGGTTGTGTCAACAAAGTTGAGCTAAACAATTAAAGGGGCTGTGTCACGGTAGTCCAGTTCATTTTGTTTAATTTTGCCAATCACTCGCCCTCAATCGCTATGGAACTTAAAGTAAGCAAAGAAATTACAGGTAAATGACAAAATCAAAGATCCGAGACAAACAAATATGTCTCCTGAGCATTATTTTTGAAGTTGCAAGCAGCAGGGATCAACTTTGAAAAACTGTTGGGCTGAACAGTTTTCAAAAACCCTAATTTCAATCCGTTGCAATCTTCTTCAGTTTTGCCCACCTGTGACATCTGTTGTTTCTGTTATGTTATTTTAACCCTCCTTTAGAGTTTAAGTGGTTATCTTTATGTTTCTCTTAATTAAACGGGCATTTTGTAATTTCCTAATTTGGCTGAATTTCGTGACACAGCTCCTTTAATACAGTAGTGCGGCAGGTTAACGAGCAAAAACCAGCTGATTTCCCGCAGTTAGATTAGAGCAGAACTTAGTAGTTATTCACTGACAGTATAGTGCACTGCACCCCGTTTTTTGCCAAACAAAATAATTTATTTGACTCACATTCTTGCCAAAGAAATCTAGCATGACATGGTTATAGAGTCATTATAAGTAATTAACGAAGGAAGGTCATCAGTTAATCTGAACTGACTGAGAGCAATCTAACTGTTCTATTATTTTCCATTCAAAATAGCAAAATCTGATAAAGTTTCCACGAAGGGTATTGAAATGCATCGGTAGTCAAGCTATTACAAATGAGAAGTACATTCTTTAAATTTGCCTTAGTTAAGTTAATTTACATGAAAAAAGGAACTGTCAGTCGTGTCTTCTCCCTGTGTTTGTACACCTCCAAAAACAATTTTCAAATAAATCTGGTGCCACTAAGTGGAATCAGATCACAATGTCCAATCTCTGTTACCCCTGCAAAGTCTTATGATATCAAGAGCCTTTCTATAAACACAGCTGTTACTAGGTCTGGCGGTTTGGTTCTCGTGACCCTAGCCTGGAAAAAGCCAACCTTTGTTTGGCTCTTGAAAACGCTGAAGGGGAAACCACCATCTTGCGCTACAAAACATTTTTTCCGCCTCCAAATTATCTGGTTGTTACTAAAAACAGTTTGAAAGTGTCCCTACACTCAAGTTTTTTTCTCCGATAATCAACTACAGTTCAGAATTTCATGAAATCTCCTTTTAAGTTGATTGACGCGTTAACGTTTTTCTATTTTCCCAGTTGGAAATGATCAAAAGAATGGATGCTACAGTTAAAGAGCAACTTTAACTAGGATTTTTAATGCACTCCATCTTTGACCTCATTCTAAAGATTCAACTATAATTGTCTTTATACCCCACTGAGACGAGTGGGTAACGGTGTTTGAAATAGCGTATGCGCGTTTCCACAAGGACTTGCGTTCCAGCGACTACAAATTAAGGGATCTTGAGATGTTAAGAAATCGGAATTGAGGATTAAGGAGTTTTGAGGTAGCATGTCTAACATCTTGCTAGGGCGTGGATTGAACTCAAGGCCTCGGGAATTCAATTCCAGCACTCGAACCACTCGGCCACGCTGCCCCTAAAAGGTCTTCCCATGCAGGCAGATGTTTCCCTTTACAAATTAATCATCATGGTCGCAGTCAACTAGGTTAGTAACCTAAATTCCGGATCACTAGCAATGACGTTTCTAAAGCATTTTACTACATATTTCGTCGCCCCTTCTTTCTTCCCCGAGATCTCCAAGGATGCCATGGTACTCACTTCGTTGAAGTAGATGTTTTAATTAGCAAATTCCCATTTCATCTTTATTTCCTCTTCCGGCAATTCACATTAAGTCCTCTCCTCTTTTTTTTTCGACCAATTCCGTAGCCATGGCCGGTCAGAAGACCTTGCAATTGTTCATTCTTTTTATGGTCCTGATCCTTTTGATGGAAGAAGCAAAGCTTATCGATGCTCGGCGTGTTAGAAGCAGGAAGAGAAGGTCCAATTACAAGCCCAAAAAGCCGTCGATAACAGAACTGGCAAAGAAAGTGCAAGAACTGGAGGACAGACTTGCTGAAATCGAGGAGTGTAAACGTAAGAGTGATATCCTACACTAGAACACCCGACGCCTTAGTCTAAATTATTAGTTATACTGAACAACTGCTTTTGATGAAGAGGACATCCATTTTCTCATGCATCTAAAAAATAACCAACCCCTATTCAGTGTCAAGCTAAGAGTACGGGGAATTTTTTTTTTTTTTCATTTAAGACCATTTTTTTAATCATCCATTGTCAAAAGGAATATAAATCAAGCAGGGCGCTCGGATGATACACAATGCGGAGAACTCTTAAATCTTCTTAAAATTGTCGAGGGTTGCTCTTTGTTGACTGGTTGTGAAACATGACTTACCCATTGCACTAAATTTCATGCACTTTCATTTGAGTTGTTGATGCTTTCTGGAATTGTCCAGTCATTATTTAGACAAGGAGATTTCTGTTTGTCTTTCATTGGCAGCTTGTGAAAACGAAGAACCACAACAATCGCCGAAAGCGTTTCTTTTCCCTGATAAAAAGAAGACTGACTATATTGACGCTGGCACATTGGATAAGGACCTTAATGCTTTGACCGTTTCTCTCTGGATAAAAACCGATGACACGAGCAAAGTGGGTTACATCAGTTATGCAAACAAGGATCACCAGAACGCGTTCGTTCTGTATAACCCAAATAATAAACTGGCCTTGATCTCGGGATACTATCATTCAGGGTAATAGCTTCTTTCTTCTCTGTCAAGAGAATCATATTCACTTCTTTTGCGGAAGTGATGTAATTTTTGAATGGGCGGGATTTGACGGCACGGTTTTGCGGGCGTCCATTTAGTAGAACTGTTCCCTAAATACAAGTTTGTTTTCCTTAGATGATAAAATATTGCAAGAAACGTTTAAAATACGCTGAGCTACTCGTCTTCTTAATAAAGGGTGTCCGCATAATATAGGGTCCGTTTTAAATACAGGTTTCACTGTAACTGATATTTGGGTAAGGATTCAGAGTTGAAGAAATCCAACGGGATGACAAGATTGAAGAACCCTATCGGGTACCTTGGATTAGATGATAATGTTATTATCATCATCATCCTTATCATCAACATTATCATCATCATAATCATTTTTATTATTATTATTATTACCATTACAGCGATACAGGTGTGACCATTACAGATGGAATTTGGCATCATGTTTGCGTCACACTGGGAAATGATGCGTTCGAGTTGTATTTTAATGGCGATTTGAAGGCTTCAACGACAGCAGACGGTCAGTACATGTATGTTCGTTTAATTCACGATTCCGAGGAAATTAGCAACTATCGCTGTTAGTACTTGTAAAACGAGTTTTTTGTTTTAGATAATTATTTATACTTTCTTGTCCAAGGTTTTTTTGTTTTAAAACTAGCTTACACAGCCAGCTCTGCGTTCCTTTTCCCCCCCTGTCAAATATTGCTTTGGAAAATGGAAAACGACCTTAGTTTAAAAAAAAAGAAAAATACGTGGAATGGATAGCGTAGGAGGGAAAGCATTAAGTAATTGTGTTAAAGGTTTATTTATTGCCACAATCGCCTTATGCACGAGTTCCTCTGCCATTTCAATCAGTGATTTCAGATTGCAAATTTGAACAATGAAAGTCTTTTCAAAACAAATCCATTTATAGCTGCACTTTTCAATAAACTGTGATAATTGTGCGGTGCTAGACGTATTTTAAACTGCGTGCATAGCAGTTCCACCATAATACATGATTATTTAACAATTATTTAACACATGTAAGCTGTTTTGTGTTCCACAGCGTTTAATAACTACTGAAGTTACAGTCATTTTTCAGCAATGCATTATGACGAAGACAAGTTATCAAGAAAGTAATTAATACACTCTAATAAGCGCCTTCCTCTTATGTACACCTCTCTCTAAAAGTCCCCAGCCTAGCAAAACTGAAGAAATGGAATAAGCTACCCATGGGACTAAATGGAGGAAGGAGGGTATATCATTTTTGTTACTTTATTTTACAATGATAACCCTCTGTGTTCAAGTAAGGCCTCCCTCTTGACGGCAAGTGAATGGTCTCTTTTTTCAATTCCTTTTGCGTTTTAGGAATTTTCATCAGAAAAGGTGGAAAGCTGATTTTTGGGCAAGACCAGGATTGTGTAGGGGGTTGTTTCGATCAAGTTCAGAGTTTTCAGGGTGAAATGACGGGAATCAATATCTGGGACCACGTGATTACAAAAGAAGAAATATCTGCGTTGGCCGAGTCCTGCACCGTTGGGAAGGGGAACTTGCTAAACATGGATGGCCTGGGTCAAGATCAAGCTAAAGGAGGAGTGAAGCTTATTGACTCCACCTGCAAAAAGCCACAAAAAGTTCTTATCAACGGGGAATACGCCTATATTTAAAGCAGTGGAATGCAAATTCAAAGAAATCTGTTTTAGCCCTCAACTAAAAATTAGGATGTTTAGTTAAGGTAAAAAAAAACACTGCAAAACCGTGTACGAACAATCTTGCTCAACGTCATATTAGTAAGTTCAAGTGTGAGGCTAATTCCCCTCCTTAACACGTTAAACCTTAATATTCTTGCACTTTTGTCTAAGCCATTTTCTCTCCCTTTTTTTAATACAAATCAACTGCAGCAATTTCTTTTCGCAAAGTTGCCTAAATGTTCAACTTGAGAAAATTTTCTTTAAATAGGAAGCTTGAGTTCTTTTTTTAGCCTCAGAAAACAGCCTACATTTTGCGAAGCCCCCATCGGTTTCCAGCAAAATGACGTAAGAAATCTCCTTCTGATGAAGTGTCACATGACCCAGATCTGGGTAATGCTTCTGATTGGCAGAAATTACCAAGATCAGTTTAGATTTTTTTTGCGCTCGTTCGGAATACGTCATTTCTTGGAGAAACTAGTGATGGCGTCACTAAATGTCGGCTGCACTGTTCTCCCATACTAGGTCTTTTTTGCATTAAGCGAAGACAAATAATGTCATTTAGAGTGAAAAAAGATCAAAAGAAGTGATGATTTGTTGATAATTCCATTTGGTGTGTAATTAATGTTCTAATGAAGGATTGCGCTAAACATTTTTGACGTTTTAAATAAATCATTGAAAGTGAATGATATAGCAGATAATTGTGCAAAAACCAGCATGTAATTTTTACTATCAAAATCACTGTGTAATCAAACTTAAAAGTCATGAGAATAAAGGGAATGATATTAGTTATCTTAACACAGTAAAAAACACGGATAAGAAATGACGTTTCGACCGATCTTCGGTCATTTTCAAGTAAGTACTTAGTAATTAAGTAATTATGCATATATATGTGTAAGGTGTAAGTATAAGTTCTTAACATATTTTTACACCTTACACATACAATTATATGCTAATTCTTTTAACTTTTTTGCTTACTTGAAAATGACTGAAGATCGGTCGAGACGTCGTTTTTTATCCGAGATTTTTACTGTGTTAAGTTTTAGAAAACCCTTACTTATAAGATATTAGATTACTAATGATGATGATTAAATTCATTCTCCTTTCAGTACCATTATGATAGTAATGTATGTGCAGTTTTTATGGCGCATGACTACATGTTGAATATAAATGAATTGAGGGTAAATTGACAGTGTTTTTGGCAATTCTACTCAACACACAAACAATTTTAATCTATCTTTTCGCTTGTATCACCCAAGTAAGATTGTGTTTTGGAGGTATATCTCATCAGAAATTTTCGAAATCCCTTTTTATGTAGTCTACGTTTTTCATATCAACCTGCGAGAGTCCCTTCGTTTCCCACATCTCTCTCTTTCCCACCGCAAAAGAAAATAAGGGAATAGCTTAACAGGGCTAATCTAAACCCTGTGTGGTAACTTAAAAACCATAAAAGAAAACAACATACTGTAAGAGGTCCTCGGAGCAGAATAGGTCAAGGTCAGCTAATGGACTGCGCACTGACGTAGCTGAGGTTGTTTACAAAGATGATCTGACAATGTTTTAGGGACCTGCCGACAAATGACTGCTAATTGCTCCGTAAGGTACTTATTCGAGTTAAGATGCCCAGCCCAGCGGCAGAGCGTTTTGAAACGTGGGGGCGGGTCATCCTTCTCTCAGCCATGTGCACACCCCTGCTCAGATTTTACAAAATGCCCTTTGTGTAGTTCTTTGGCACAAGGAAACCTCTTTGCAATCTTGACAATGTCTAATGTGTCCGCAATCGATTTTTGTGACAATAGATCAAAAAGGTAGTTGTTCCGACGGTCCTGCTTCATGGTGCTTCTTAGGTATAGTTCTTGAGTCGTCTGAGAGCCTAAAATATGCGCACTGAAGTCGCCATATGTCATATGTCATATGTAATTGTCATATACGTCATAACTAATTTCAAATACACCCGAGATTGAATATTTTGCCAATTTTTTTATGCTGCGCTAGCGATTGTTTTGGCACCAAAACCAGCTCAAATTTTTGTTTTGGGGGGCTGCAACCCCCCCCACCCTCATTCCCCTGCCTATGAGTCTATTAGGTTACTTACTCTTTACGCATGAATTCTTGGCTGAATCCGTTTTGTCTCATTTTGTATGAGCGTTTAAAACGATGCCATTGCAACAACTACCCTTTTTTGTTACTCCTGAAGAACCTAGCCTGCGTGCAGACGATAACTAAACTCTGATTAGTACCGTCTGCGAAGCAGCGCAGAGATCCTTGTTCTGGGCCCCCAACGGACTCAACGAATTACCGGAAGTGCGTTTCGAATTCCCCTTCAACCTGATTGGCGATCACGACAAACAAAACAAAGCCTTTTTTAACTGGCCAGTCGTGGCGCGTACTCAAATCTGGGTACACAGCTGGAAGTCCAAAACAAGGATTTCGGCGCTGTTTCGCAGACGGAGTTAACCAGAGTTTAATTTCGTCTGCGCGCAGGCTAGAAGAACCCAACGAAAAACATTTAAAAAAGTACCTTCAATGGTTGCGAAACTGACAAACATTAAAGACCAGAGCGAGAACCACCGCAAGGTTTCAATAACAGCCCACTCAAAAGTTACAACTACGCTTCATTACCTTTAACCTGCCCGAGTTTCACTCTTCACTTTCCGTTGTAACGTATGTACCGCCAAGAAAGCTTATTAATAATCATTATATTTCGTCATTTAACGTATTGCATTTTGGCTTGTTTTAATTTCCTACTTGTACACCTTGTCTGTAACTGTGTTCAGACTGTGGGTGGCTAAAAAATGTTCTACAATTGGTCTAGCATTTAAAGGAGCCAAAACCAATTGTGGAATTTCACACATTTTAGGCATCCTACTGATGAACAGTTACGACTTAAGGAGAGGGACCTGAAGACCTTGGGCATTGACATCAACGGATGGGAAATCTTGGCTTCAGAACATTCTGTATACCTGTAGCCCGGCAGTGCAGCAAGGCCTCTTTGAGTTTGAAGAGACACCTGCCGAACAGGCTGAGACAAAGAGACAAACGAGGAAAGCCCAAATCATGGAGATGTACCAGCAACTGACCACATCTGCTCACTGTGCGGAAGGGGCTGAGTAGTTATATAGGGATGAAGATAAGCCCCGTTAGTGTCTAGCACGGTCTAGCTAGGTCTAGTCAATGACGTCACCCATTCTTATAACCTACATACTAATTTGGATTAGGTTTACTAATGAGCGTCACTCTACTACAATAGGAACAATAGGCTTGTCTAGACTTGCCCGGGCTCTTTTAACCCTGATTGGATAGTAAACAACCTATTATGTGTTCAACATAAAAGCGCGCTCTCCGTTCAGCATTTTATTCTTGCAATCGCTTTGCTAAGGAAAAAGTCTTATTATCACCAATATTTTTCAAAACATTGCTCCAAACATGCAAGTCGAATCGAGCTGTAAACTTGTCTGACTATTACAGAACTGTTTTCTCCTTTCTATCTCGAGGAAATGAAAAACTATTGAAGTCTTGTCATTTTCACGCACGGTTAATCAGTTAATTATGCGAGTTCGCAAGCCCAAAGTTGAATACAAATTAGCTCTACAGGAAAGACCCAAGGGAGAGAATCTTGACGTATTATTATAAAACAAATAACTTAACAAGGATCAATTAAAACACGCGACTCATAATTGCTAGCAATAAAACCACAAGAGAGATACCGTTTTGAAAACTTTATTAAAAGTCAATAACCAAAAGAGTCAAATACACAGTGATTTGAAAGAAATCTATTACAACAGTCAAAGAAAGCAAGTCATGTTTTACTTACCCCTCTCCCTTTTCAATTTTATTTCCCTCTTCAATTTTTTCTTTTTCCCTTCTCCACAATTTTATTATTTTCCCTCCTCAATGTTTTTATTCCCTCCTCCACAATTTTTATTATTTTCCCTCTTCAATGTTTTTTATTCCCCTCCTCCACCTCCACCTCCTCATTTATTCTATATATTTTTCCATCCACAAATACATCGACCTCCTAGCGACCCTACATCGACCCTACATCGACCCCACATCGACCCTACATCGACCCTACATCAACCCCACATCGACCCTACACTCAACTTTTTTTTAACACTGCTTCGTAAATAGTGAAGCTATATACCACCACCACCACATTTCTATTGTTTTCCCTCCACCACCACCACCACCACCACATTTCTATTGTTTTCCCCACCACCACCACCACCACCACCACATTTCTATTGTTTTCCCTCCACCACCACCACCACCACCACCACATTTCTATTGTTTTCCCTCCACCACCACCACCACCACCACATTTCTATTGTTTTCCCTCCACCACCACCACCACCACCACATTTCTATTGTTTTCCCTCCACCACCACCACCACCACCACCACATTTCTATTGTTTTCCCTCCAACACCACCACCACCTCCGCCACCACATTTTTATTGTTTCCCTCAAAATGTGGTGGCGGTGGTGGTGGTGGTGGTGGTGGTGGAGGGAAAACAATAGAAATGTGGTGGTGGTGGTGGTGGTGGTGGAGGGAAAACAATAGAAATGTGGTGGTGGTGGTATATAGCTTCACTATTTACGAAGCACTGTTAAAAAAAAGTTGAGTGTAGGGTCGATGTGGGGTTGATGTAGGGTCGATGTAGGGTCGATGTGGGGTCGATGTAGGGTCGATGTAGAGTCGCTAGGAGGTCGATGTATTTGTGGATGGAAAAATATATAGAATAAATGAGGAGGTGGAGGTGGAGGAGGGGAATAAAAAACATAGAGGAGGGAAAATAATAAAAATTGTGGAGGAGGGAATAAAAACATTGAGGAGGGAAAATAATAAAACTGTGGAGAAGGGAAAAAGAAAAAATTGAAGAGGGAAATAAAATTGAAAAGGGAGAGGGGTAAGTAAAACATGACTTGCTTTCTTTGACTGTTTTAATAGATTTCTTTCAAATCACTGTGTATTTGACTCTTTTGGTTATTGACTTTTAATAAAGTTTTCAAAACGGTATCTCTCTTGTGGTTTTATTGCTAGCAATTATGAGTCGCGTGTTTTAATTGATCCTTGTTAAGTTATTTGTTTTATAATAATACGTCAAGATTCTCTCCTTGGGTCTTTCCTGTAGAGCTAATTTGTATTCAACTTTGGGCTTGCGAACTCGCATAATTAACTGATTAACCGTGCGTGAAAATGACAAGACTTCAATAGTTTTTCATTTCCTCGAGATAGAAAGGAGAAAACAGTTCTGTAATAGTCAGACAAGTTTACAGCTCGATTCGACTTGCATGTTTGGAGCAATGTTTTGAAAAATATTGGTGATAATAAGACTTTTTCCTTAGCAAAGCGATTGCAAGAATAAAATGCTGAACGGAGAGCGCGCTTTTATGTTGAACACATAATAGGTTGTTTACTATCCAATCAGGGTTAAAAGAGCCCGGGCAAGTCTAGACAAGCCTATTGTTCCTATTGTAGTAGAGTGACGCTCATTAGTAAACCTAATCCAAATTAGTATGTAGGTTATAAGAATGGGTGACGTCATTGACTAGACCTAGCTAGACCGTGCTAGACACTAACGGGGCTTATCTTCATCCCTATATAACTACTGGGCTGTTATTTCCGAATTGGTCTTTCCAGCCACACAAGGTGCTGTTCGACCACCAGTCAGAGCGCGACACCATAGTCTTTTGAGACTGAAGGATTTCAATTGCCAACAATAATGGGCTTATAGATATTTCGAGCCGTCTGTTTTTGTTTTTTGTTTTTTGCTTTTTCTTAATTGTGTTGAACGAGAGATTATTAGAGACTATTAGAGATTATTAGAGAT